CAAATTCAGCAATAAACCAAAAACATGTTATTACACACTATGGCCCAGTTGAGCCTCCAGCCCTTCGGTTTTCTGATAGGATGATCAAAAACTGTGCCCAAGTTTCTCCAAGAGACAACAGTCATTAGATTAAGTGAACAGAATGTAATTTTTAAAACTGGACAATTTCTCATGACACTTCTGTTTTCAACAGTCAGCATCCATCCATCCCAAACTCTAGAGATGTTTTATAAGCCACTCAACAGTCAGCACTCATATTTTAACAAAAAAAAAATTACCAGTTGGTTGAGCTACCCAACACAGTAACTTACAACAATAGAAGCTGACAGTATTAGAACAGAAAGCAAGGGTATTTTAAACAAAGTCAGTGGTTTCAGAAGCAACTCTAAAGAACAGGGATATTCTGTTGAGACTAGAGCAAAAGGCCAAGAGTCAGAGAATCCAATAGCAAAGACTAGGCAACATCTGAATAACTAATGAAGATTTCAACTCTAAGTGTAAGCAGAGCCATGCAAACTCAGCATGACAGAGCAAAGCTTCACTCCAATTGATTATTAGGAATAAGAAGTCATTTAAGAAATCTGCAAGCCATGCTTCCAAATCGGTGTATGCAATTCTATCATTTGGTCACAAATAATTCAGAAATGCAGGTTGTGGAAGGCGAATAAATTCTTTGCTAAAAGCTACTGACTCACTCTGGACTACAAAAACATGTACTTCTGTCTCAGACAGCTCAGTCCTGGAGCCCTTTCACACCAGGCTCCCTACAACCAGGTCAGCCCTTTTACTCTCTAGGAAGGAATCCAGCGTACCTTCATGACAACTGGCAATGAGCAAGTGAAAAACAGTTTGACAAACAGAAATTGCTATATTATGAATGCCTTGCACAAACAGCAGAGATGAGTGAATCTATGTCCATAGTAGGTCAGAACCTTGTTCCTGCTAAAAATCATAGCAAATCTCACATATTTCCATATCAGCACCTAGATACATCAAAAATGGATAATGCAATGACAGCCACAGGAGGAACAATATTGTCCCTCAGACTGTGTGTAGACCTACTAGCATGACCATGAGGTGCTGCCTTAAAGAGAACTGGGACCCTTCACTGGTGTTGAGTGGCAATCTCCAGCTGAGAGCAAGATCACTTTCAAGTTATACCTAGGGTTCAGGGAAGACATCTGTTAGGTGAAGGCATGTAGTGGTCTGGTACTCTAATCGTCACCTGGAAAATCATCATCTTCCCAACGAGAACATCTGATCCACAGAAAACTACAAACAACATATACTTCTGTCTCCAGACACAGCTCAGTCACATTTTAACGAAAAACACATCTGCATAGTATTGACTAAAGGAGAATATTAAGAAACTTGTGGTTTCCCATGTGCCTTTTACAATACCAAAATATGGCTCAAGGCATGGAGTTAAAAAGTTCCTTATAAATGTCCACAGTAGGAGCTTTCCTTCTTTTAAACACAAAAATCCTAGTTTAGCTTGCACTGAATGCCCTGACATAGAGGACTTTCATCTTCTAATAGGCTTATTTATGCAACTGTAAAGTAAGTGTCCATTGCTAAGATCCTGGATTGCATTAATAATTATATAATATTAGCATAAATTTAGATATATCTTATCTTGATTACTCTTTAGATTAAGTGCTGTGCAGCTGCTAACAGGCCCCCTTTGGGGAACAGAGAAATTGAAACAGGGGAGTGTCACAGATACTGGTAGTGACTCTATTCCACAATGGAATTAACAGCAGAAACGCAAAGTCACAGGAATTCTCCAATATCTGCTATATACTGTATGTTCAAACAATAATGACACAAATATGTAATAGGTTACAACATTTGCCTTGTGCTGTGTTCTGAAGTCCAGTAATCTTTGACAACTACAACTGTGAGCACATTAATTTTTCTTAAGCAGTTACATTCTGGGCTTCTAGGATGAGTCCACAGACTATTTTCTTTACTATTTAATAGTAGAACATGCATGTAGAGAATTCACTCAGTATTTATGGCAATGGCCCAAAAACCCCAAAACAAACAAAAGAGGTTACTAGAGAAAAACCTCAACAAATGATAAAAATAAACCATGCATTTTTAGAAATCTGCAATCCATCACTTCTCAGTCATTTCTGTCTTTAATTAGCTCCTTTCGCCTCCTTTTATCGTATTTCATTCCTCTGGCTCAACTCCATCATAAGCCTATTCTAAAACTCCTGATCTGCAAAGGCCTCGCTTTGCTTCTGTGTTCCCCTGCATGATCATCTTCTTCATTTCCCTTTGTGCAATTCCAAACTCAGGCTTGCACCCTTCTTGTACAGCTTCTGCCCTTTCTGCAGCTAAAGCTTTCATCCAGGAATTAAAGGAATCCGATCCAATTTAACACAACTTCCCTCTCTCCAGCTTATGTCTCTCTCTGCTGTTATCTTTATCCAATTCAAAACACAACTATGTTGTTTTACATTAATTCAACTACAGCCTTGTTGTCTAGTCCTCTGATTGTACCCTCCCATTTAGGTATCTTTGTTTTTCTAGACATGGTTGTTTGTCCTTCACTCACTGGAGGTTCTTCCTGAATGCTTCAACCTCCTCCAAGAAGTATCCTCCTTAAACTAATCCAGAAGGCCCTTAGTTTTGGTTTGAAATCTCTATTCCAGACTGTTTTTTCTAAATCTCATATATAGCTATTCAAAGACTACTAGCAAGAGATAGAATAGGGCATGGAGACAGAATGGATTGAATCATAAAACAAACTAATACATATGAAAATGTTATGGATGAAGAGGGAACCTCTGTTCCCCTACCCTTCATATGCCACTGATCTTGGACTGTTAACTCTTCAGGGCAGGTATGGGTGTCTCTTCGTGTAAGAGCAGAATCCAGCATCTTTATGTGACTTTTACCACACACACAAAAGCAACCATAAAAGTTAACTCCATGAAGTCAGTCCGTAACTTTGATAAGCATTCTAGTAGAAATAAGAGTGTTGGAGTTTTTATGGGATGCTAGACTTTAGGAGTCAGGATATTAAATTACTCAACTGCAACAGTTAACACTAACACTACAAAAGTACCTTCCTAAATGCAGCTTCTACAAAACTTCATTTAAGCAAAGTCAGCCACGCTGCTGGTCCATTACCACCGAGCTGACTCAGATTTCTGGGCAAGGGATGCAGTATCCTGCAATTAGGATGTAACCATGTCCTGTGCCAGAATCACAGAAAATCAGTACTGCTCCACTTGGTTTGGCCTGCTCCGCAATTTTCTTCCTCCATTGCACTGCCAGGTACTGTATCCTCCAGTTGAGTAACAACCATCAGATACCACGGGAGAGGTTGGAGATATTTTAAGCATCAGAGGGGAAACTTCTTGATCAGGAAGAAAAGTTGCAGTTGCACAAAGAGCTTTACACATTTCCATCAGAGCTTCTACACATTTACATTGGTTTAGTGACAGGGCTTTTGTGAAATAAATGCATTTAACCCTTTTTAAACCACTTGTGTTACTTTTTTTTTCTGCTTGGAGTGATATTTGTACTAACAACTTAACTATGTGAGAATGACTTGAAAAGTTTTTATGAGCATAAGATTTGGTGAATAAAAGCTGAGACATTCAGAAAATAAAACCCACTAATTAGCAGTTTCTTCCATAAGACCAGTATTTTAATCATAATACTAGAGCCAAATGCAACCATTACTATGTTTTAAACAGACATATCACAAAGTTTTTCAACTTGTGACCGTTCAGGGGCCTTCAAAGAATCCTGAAATGCCTAGAGGACTTTTTTTTCTTTTTTTTTTTTCTTTTTTTTAAGCAAAGCATTATGAAACTTGAAGAATCCTATTTTATTGTACTGTAAATACGGTCTTCACATCTGAAAAATATTTACATAGAATAAGTCACTTTCAGAGGCAAATAAATATGCTATGGAGAGCCTGCTTATTATTTAACTACACAAAAAGAATACAAGCTGTCAGTGCTTATACTTTACAGATTATAAAAAAGAAATATGAGACAATTTTTTCACAGATTTTGTTACTTAAACACAAAGTAGTCAATTGGAAAAGGAAGAAACAGAGGCCTGCAACTCATCTTGGATGTCAGCAGTTGCTTCAAATGCACAAATTTTATGTTCTTCAGTAACAGCAAAGACTCAATGTTTTTTTTCCTTTAGATGTAACAGCCATGTACCACCTCAAACATGATCATTAGTGGTCATGATGAAAATCACTGTATCTTAATACAAATTGGGGTGTGTAATTGTTAAAAGTTAGAAGGATTGGTCTTCATACAACAGAAATATGTTTTATAACGTAAACAGCGCTAGGTTAATGGTTGGACTCGATGATCTTTGGTCTTTCCCAACCTGAACGATTCTATCTATGACTCTATATCATTTGTAAACATTCCCCGGTTTGGGTAGCAAGCATTGTGTACGTTAAATTGCTATGTTACGTTCACATGTTATATTTCAAGCAATTCCCCTCCGATATCCAATTTCTATTTATAAAATCACATCCGAGCCCACAGAACACAAACCCACCCTGCCCCGCGCTTTAGACAGAAGCCGAAATAAAGCCGCGGCGTTTTAAGTCCCGCTGTCGCAAAGGCACCGCAACTTTCATTTTCGGGCCCCCGGTCGCCGCAGGCAGCGGGCTGTGCCCGCCCGGGCCCCCGCGAACCGGGGGAGGGCATTGCCAGGCACGGGGACCATCGTAACTAATTCGGGCGCCGCTGCGGTAGGACTGGCATTCCCAGCGCTCCTTTGGGAAATCGAGCCGCGCGTCTCGCCGAGCATCGCAGTGCACTGAGCGTTATCCTTCAGCGGTACAAACACCCTTGCGGAGGGTGCGGCGAGCCTCCTCCGCACCGCCGCCCCTGCCGCGCCGGGCGCGGGCCCCTCTCCCCCGGCTCCCCCGGCCGTGCCCGGGCCCCTCTCCCCCCGCTCCCCCGGCCGTGCCCGGGCCGCCCCCTGCTCCCCCGCCCGGCTCTCACCTGTGTCCGCGCCGCCTCGCTCCGCACCCGTGTGCTCAGCGCCGGCCACCGCGCCCCGCCGCCGCCCTCGCCGGAGACCAGCCGCAGGGGCCTGATGCTCTCCCGCTCCGCGAAGCGGCTCGCCCCGCCGCCCCGCTGCCGCTGCCGCCGGCCCGGAGCCTCCTGGGCAGGGGAGAGGCACCGTCACCCGGCTGCGCCCTCGCCCCCAGCGCGCAGGCTGTTGCGGGGGCTCCGTTTCCAGGGGGCTCCGCAGCAGCCTCGGCGCAGCATCCCCCTCCCGCCGCCCCCGCCGCCCCCGCCCCGAGAGCGGCGGCGCTGCCCCGCGGCTCACCTGGGGCAGCCGGCAGGGCGCAGAGCGCCAGGCAGAGGAGGCAGGCGGCAGCCCGCATGGCGCTGCCCGCCGCCCCGCTCGCCGCCGTGTGCCGCCCCGGCTGCCGCCGCCGAGCGCCGCCGGCTCCGCGCCTGCACGGGCGGGGGGGCTGCGGGGCCGCGGGGCCGGGGCTGCCGAGCCTGCCGAGCTCCGCCCCGCCGCCGCGCCGAGCCCCCTGCCAGCGAAGGAGATGGCGAGAGCCGCCGAGCCTCCCCGCAGAGCCCGCTTGGAAGAGGGAAGTGCTGGGAAATGTAGTCGTTCGCCGGGTGTGAGGGAGCGGGGCGAGATCGCAGGGGAAGCCCCGGAGTCCGGGGAGCGCTGCAGGGATTCCGCAGCCCCCGCCCCGCGGGGCTGTCTCGCTACCGCACCGCCCCGGTTCCGCACTGCTCCGGGGTAAGGGAACCCCCGCTGCAAAACTTGCCTCCGCTGGCAGCCCCACCTGCGGGTGAAGGCGGGGGGGTCTCTGGGGACGCAGGCGGAGCGTTCCCCCCCCTCCCCCTTTGGCCGTACTGCGGCCAGCCCCCTCCCCTTACGTGTTCATTTTCTGAGTAAACCTTCATTTCCTTCTCTGTGACCTTTTTTCTTCCTTTCTTAAATTTCTACTCCCTCCCCGCTTTCTCCACTGGACTAACAAAGAGAGAATAAAAGGATTATAACGCAGCATCGTTTCTTTCACGGTACAACACGCTCTCCTGGACTAAGGAAGAGGCAGAAGTGTCAAGGAGTCTCCACGATGTCTGTTCCCCGAAACGCGAGGATTATTTTCCCTCAGCGGACGGATGGCTGCATCTGCAACCCAATTCTACACTCCCACCTACCGGGAAGCCGAGGGCAGCAGTGCTACCTCTCGGTACTGTGTATCTCACCTTTCTTAATTAACTACGTTTCTTTCTGAAAATGGGACAAGGGTGGCAATTGCCTAAAGCGTTCCTGCCGCCGCAGTTTTCCGAAGGGGCGACAGCAGAACTGCCATGGCACGCAGTTGAAGGGAGTGGAAGAAGGAGGGGTGTCAGAGCAGCATAGTGGCAGATGCAGCTCGATACCGACCCAGGCAAGAGAATACGAGGTCAAACTACCCACTGCAAGGCTTGTACCAATTGTAAGCACATAATGAAGGAGGAGGTGGCATCACAGTAAATGGTACTGAAAGCTGCTGCTCGTTATAAAGTCGAAGTTTAAAAGAATAAACAAACAAAATATTTATTTTCATAATCTTAAAACGGTTATGCGACTGCATGTATTAAATGTATTGCTTGCACTGACAACAGCCAGAACACCCGGCACCTCCATTTCTGTTCTTGGGAGCGTTTCTGCCTGCCGGGGTGCCTTCCACGGGCTCCTCACAGGAGGGACCACACTCTGGGCACAGCTTGGCAGCAACAGCCCACCCCTCCCAGAGCTACCCGAAGGGGAAGGTCGGGGCTCCTGGCCCGATTTCTCAGTGGGTCTTACCTTACTTACACGGATCATCTATTAAAAGAAGCCATTAGAGGACAGAAGAAGGAAATTCAGTTTCTCACGATTTGTTTCCATGATATGAAAACAGACAAAATGACAGTCCAACAAGATGAGGATAGGAGCACAGTATTGCATCTGGAAATACATATAAACTTGGAGGAAAACGTGGCTAATAAGTTTTGTGCTGTCCTATTTACACTACACTCACACACTACAAGCAAGATATATCCATTAAATCCTCAAGCAGTCACTGAAATTGTGCACAATTAGCTTATAAAACTCTGTTGTGGAGTGTCAAAAGGAGCATGGGTAGGGTGGGTAAAGAAAATGAGGAAGTGCCATTTATGGAAAGAAAAATCAGTACTATAATATGATGTTTCAATCTTCTTATGAAAGTCATCAATCCTTATATTTCAGGCTGCAGCCAACTGCTACTTATTTCAGTCAGACCAAACTGTCCCCACTGGCACACTATTTCACAGCTTCTTCTGCCAGTATTTCTGAGAAAATTCATGACATTGGGTATATACTACTGTTAGGCAGTAGTTACACAGTACAGTTACACACTGATTTCCTGGATCACTACATCATATATTTCTTTTTACTCTTGCCATTACCAGTGTTCAGATCTAGTGTAGATGTCACACATGGAAAGTTCACCAACCCAGCACCAGCCAAGGCCTGGCTGCTTTTAAGTAATGACAATGAATGCAGAGTTCTATCCAGTCTGTGTGCTTGGGGAAAGTTGTGAGCTATAATACATACACTTTATGAAGACAATCCTTTTTTAGTATGCCAACTCTATTTTGGTGAAACCCTTCACTACTTTCAAGAATAATTTTTAATACTTTTTTTTTTTTTTAAATACAACCAACTAATAAGACAAAGGTATTTTAAAAGCATGTGTGCTAGAAGTGATTAGCCAAGATAGAGCTGAAAAAGCTTTTATTTGCAAACCTTTCTTGTTTACATCTTCTACCATTTGGCTGGATAAGCACTTCTCTGATAAGCACTGAAGATTAATTCTAAATAGAAGACTTTAATAAATTGCAGAGATTTGTATATCACATTGAAGGATCGAAATCACGAGAAAGAAAATCCTGACCTGTATGTCTGAAGTTCCCTTTTATTGTACACATTGATTAGAAATGGGTGATTAGAAATGGGTGATTTGACAGGCTTGATCCTTCAGAGAAATAATGTTTTACTTTTATAAGTGGTGTTTTCAGGTTTGTTTAGGAAATCAGGCAGAGACCATCAGTATTCATTTCCTAGTTTTACTTTACTGGGAGCTCTCTGACATTGCTGAGGACTGTGACAGACTGTCCCCCTCTGAACAACTAGCTCTTTCACATCTGGGGACAGAATTTTTTCTTCTTCTAGCAAATCCTAAAATATCTTGTGTTGGAAGAGACCTACAAGGAACATCCAGTTCATTCTCACAGGACTACCTAAAAATAAACCATAAAACTGTGTCATCCAGGCACTCCTTTAACTCTGACAGACTTGGGGACAGTTTTCCTGGGGAGCATGTTCCAGTGACCAACTGCCCTCTCATCAAAGAACCTTTTCCTTATGTCCAATCTGAACATTCCCTGATGCACTTTCATACCATTTCCTCGTGTCCTACTGCTGGTGCCCAGAGAGAGATCAGCACCTCGTACTCCACTGCCCCCTTTGAGGAAGGTGCACACTGCCCTGGGGTCACCCCTCGGCCTTCTACTGTCTAGGCTGAACAAACCAAGTGGCCTCAGCTGCTCCCCCTAAGTCCTGCCTTTGAGACCTGTCACTGTCCTGGTCACCTCAAAGACTATAGGTATTACAAATTTTTTTTTTAACCATAATTAATTACAAGTCATAATCTAACACTTTAATGTCTAAGTGCCACTTATCTCCTTCCCACAGAAAATAAGAAAGAAATATGGACTTAACATCCCTGTTGGCATTGTACTTCTAATTTATATGGGGTATTCTTGACAATTACCTCCCAGCTGTACAGCTTAAGTTTTGCTGTAATCACAATGGTAAGCAGGTGATACTGCAATCATGAATTACAGTTTTAAACTGCCTAAAGTTCTGCAGAGATTAGCCTAGTTTAAAATGCTGAAAGAGTAACACATTTTTAAATGCTAAGAAATGTACAGACATTGCTTTATATTTTTACAATTTTGATAAAATCTAGACTTTCTGCTCTGAGAAATACACAATGGAGCCTTGTGTATGCATAGACATGATGGAAAATAGCACTGTCTCCAATCAAAGAACATTACAGTGACTTAATACTGTGAAAAGTGTAACTCTTCTCCCCACACACAGAAACTTTTGTCTTCTCAAATATAATAGGTTGTAACTGAAACCTAGGGCGCTCCTTAATAAACACATTCTCAGTGGTCAATATTCAATTATGATTTATTAGGTTTATAAAAGAACATATTAAGACTTTTTCCTGATAAAAGGAAGATCTACGAATATTTTCTAATTGTTCCTATTCACCTGACCACTGATTATCATATGTGTTTCCATGTGAAAAACATGTTTACGTTCTCAAAATATGATAATTAAATTTTCTTGTATCAGTACCAGTCACATGTCCAATTACAGAAATAGTGCATTTTTACCCGATGATTGCCCAGAAGTGACATTGTCACTTATGCACGTAAAAACCAATTGACTCTGATGGTTATTTAGTCTGGAGCATAACTATTACCTGCAAACAGGAAGCATGTGCAACAGTAATCTAAATATAGAGCTCATCACACAGAATCAGTCTCGACATTAAATTGGAGGTACAGCCTGATCTGGAGCACTGCACTGGCCACTCCTCACTCCCAGTGAGGACATTGCAAGGTTCAGAGAAAGACAGACGGAAACCAGGAAGTTCAGGATTGGTCAGGATGGTCATGAACAGGCAGGAACACAATAAAATGTCATATAGTGGTACCAGAAAGTAAGCTGGTGCTTTTTGCTCTTCTGGCAGTATGGTGTGGGATAAGATGACAATTGAATTAAAACCTAGTAAGCATAAATATGCTTTCATCAAGCAAGTAGATAGTCTACTGAAGTATTTACTTGGGCTATACTTTCAAATAATTCTCAAAATTCTCAGCATCCAGAGGGACAACACATTCTTATGCACTGAAAGAACAATAGGACCTGCAATGATGAGCAACCAGCCTTGGATAAAAGTGCTTCAGGCTTTGTTAATTTTTTTATTCCAAGTTTACAAATAGGATTTCGTTTGATTGGTGGTTTCATCTTGCATCTAGTCATGGCAGGAGATCCTTTTTGCACTTCTTGCTCACCACTACTGGAATTAGGAGATTGTGCTGGATAACTACAAGTATGGTTTAGCAAAGGCAGTTTCTCAGAAAATCTGGTGACATAAAGAAAGGTAATATTTTTATTTATAAACAAACCAACCCCAAACAAAATCACAAAAACAAAACAACAACCCCCCCTCCAACAAAACAATCAATCAAACAAAACCGAAAGAAAACAACAAAAAAAACCCACTGAAAAAACCCCAAACTCCAATCACTTGGCTCAGTGGCAAGTGGCTTGGAATCAGGGTATCAGCAAAGTAAAAATTGTTCAGAAATCTGATTCATGTTTTATAACACACAGAACTTGCAATCACTGAAGAGTTTCCAGGTTAGACCTCCTGTACTTACTCCTGAAGAATGTCAGGTAAGTTCGTAGCTAAAATTATCCTCGGAAAAAGCTAAGGAACTACTCAAACCAGCCTGAATACTGGATACAGGACAAGATCCATGCAGCTTTCTGTGGCCAGAAGCCTCTCCTTTTCCAAGGGACATTAAACTTCTGAGGCCAAAGCACCCTGTTTGCAGACCTTGTACCTGAAAGATGAACTCCATGAGACACTTGTTGGTGATGTGCCTGAACCTGAAATGTGTGAGACCCATATCCCAATTCCTACTCTGCCAGGTGGTTCAAATTACAGAAGTGACTACTGTCATTTGGCAATTGACTTCCACAGTGTGGCTCTCAATCTTTATTCTACTGGAGTGCCATGTTGCACAATAGTTCTGAAGGTCACAGAGGAAGCCTGGGGTTTATGCCCAGCTATTTACATATTTAACAACTATCTTGAAGTGATTATCTCCCAACTCAAAAAAAAACAAAAAAAAGGATTATGTCAGACAGCCACCTGAATCTACAGCTGCTTTATCCCAAATGAAATTGGACTCCACTCAAACAACTGCTTTGCATCCCAAATCTTTTTATGGTGCTATGTCTGTGGCACTCAGCATTTATTTTGGATAGCTGCATTATCTAAAGCAAACGGTTGAATATCAGAAGCCAAAAAGCAACATTTGCAGAATGCATGGTAAAAAACCCCCAAAATATTCATCTCATATCACCTTCAGAGATGTTAAGCTGGTTAATGAATTCTTTTCACATTTACCTTCACCCTGCTACAGGTATCAGTGGTGACATTATTACTGGTTGGTATTACCGCGGGAATTAATCTTTATTTATGCTTGCATTTGATAACATAAACAATCTTCTTACATGGTCCAGAGGACTAGTCATGCTAGAAAACAAATTTTGGCATTCAATTTCTAGTCCATCTACATATATGCTGTACAATTGCTCTGGATCAACTGGCTGCTAAAATTTCCCCTCCTTTGTCTTCAAGAGTGGTGATTAGAGTCTTACAGAGGTTGCAGCTAAATTTGAGTAGCAGTAAGCACTCAAAAGAAAATATCTTATTTTCCATAAGAATATTTTCATGAGATGAGACATAAAAAAAAAATGAGAGGGATAAAGGGGAGTCCATTTCCTGCTGTGATGCAAATAACATCCAAACTAGTCACTCAAGAAGAATATGAATGCTTGTTCACATTGGATTGTAGTTTTTATTTTACACTTTGCTATTTCAGGAATTTCCCATAATTCTTTATATAATCTAATTGCATGTACTGAAGATCTCCAATACTGAGCATCTACAGAATGAGACTAGGGCCAGGAAGTGATTTCCACCTTTGAGTAGACTCAGTTGAAGACCAAGGTGTTTTGATGATCCAGTGCTATCAACTATCAACGTGATCAAAAAGCCCAGCACAGGCAGCCTCTGTCAGACCCTGATGTTTATCAGCCACTGGCCCAGAGGCCTCATGGACTACATAGCTCAAGGATTCTCCACCAGGGAAACACAGAGATTCCTATTTTTATCCTGTGTGCACATACCCCACTGTAACTACATCAGTTAGAACAGCTACCATTTTTTCATCATTCCTGCACTCACAGGCTACCACAAGAGCTTCACAGACACCATCACCAGGTGCATTACCTGAGTGCTTCAGAGCGGAGGCTCTCCAGAGTGCAGGATGAAGATGCACACAGCCCCACAGGTGCACCTAAGGAGTCAAACACTGCACTCACACAGGCCAGAAGGTGACACAGACCAATGACAGTATGAAGAGAGAACTGAAGCATGTCCCTCTGTTGCAAGCTTGGGGTAGAACATAAAGGACAAACAAAGGACAGTATACAATATGTAAAGCACTTTAACCATAAAAGCACAAAGCTTGAGAACATTAAACAGGCAAGAGATGAAAACGCAAAGAAATAATTCACACAAAAATTAAAGTAGTTTCTGCTGGTTTAGATCTCTTCTATGACCCTTAAGGCACTTACATTTATTAATAAAGCTTTGCAATTACATCCTGTAATTTCATACTCATGCCCTCCAATGATTTACAGATATGAAAATTCTGAAAGAGATCAGCTCTGGTTAAGATCTGAAGTATTAAATAAAGTCTTCCCAACTCTTCTTATGTCTTTCACTCTGCCTCTGAGTAAGCTAGTCTGACAGGTTGGCTGCTCTGAAAGAAAAAATATCAAACAAAACTCAAGTCAATCAGAAACCTGCTGACTGTTTTGTTGTGGCCCTTGGTGATGTCCTGTTGGGTTTTTTGTTTGCTTGCTTTTTCCCATGGAAAAATACATTCCTGCTTTCCTATTAGCTGAAATACACAATACAGCTCATTTCAGTTTAAAAATAAATTATGTCAGAATAGTCAAAGAATGTAATACATCTTTGTTATGGTGTTCTCTACTAAAGCAGCAGCAGAAGAAATAGAAAGGGAAGCAACCAAATGTCCACAAAACATCAGCAGTCCATGAGTAATGGTCTACCTTATTTACAATGTTACCTTATTTACAAACCAGCTATTTAACTTGGAATGTATCATAATCAGTGATTTTATAAAATTCTTTCTCCAAATGCAGTTGCATCATGCTTGCTGATTTTGCCTAATTATTCATTTAACCAAAATCTGGGGTCAGAGCCCTTTACTAGCCATGACAAAGTGGTACCTTCTAAAAAAAAAAAGAACAAAAAAAACACAGGACTAAAACCAAACTTAAGTTTTATTTTTCATATTTACACATACGGAACTTTTTGCATTAAAGAACTTGAAAACCAAAAAATCTGTACATATACTACAGCAATTAAAGTCTTCATGAAAAGAATCTTAAATTGGCAAGTTGATTTAAAATTCATTAAATAAAGCAGCATTAAAATCCAACAAACGGGGATGAGGATGAAGAGGAAAATAATGCCCACATAACATTTGTATTATGCCCTTCACACATGTCATTTATGCTCACTGAACCTTTGCTTTCGGCGTAATCTGAGAAACCTACAAATTCTGAGTTTCTTTCACTTGTCTGAAATAATTCCAATAGGGGTTGCAGTGGTGAGCTACAAGTGCTTCTCTTCTCTTCAGGAACAGACAGTCCATCAGTACACCTTACATTTAACTGCATATTCTGTTTCCGGGTTTCTCTTTTATTCCTTCCCAAGTGAAGTTTCACTTTTCTGTGCAGCTTTCCAGATGGTGAACTGCAGGCAGCGCTGGCAGCCAATGCATTAAATTCTTTATTCATGGCAGTATCAGACACCTCAGCCTCCAGAACGACATTGTGCTGCATTTGCTGATGATTATCACATAAATCATGATGTTCCTTGACAAACGTAGGATTGGCATCTTCTTTTTTCAAACGCTTTGCTGGTAGAACCACTGCATTATTTAATTCTTGTTTTGGTTGCGATAGGTTTTTATCTTTTTCACCAAAATCTGTAACTTGAGTATGAGAACCTAAAGAACACATGCCTTCCTGAAAACACTGCAAATTCTTCCTATTTGCCTCTTGTTGCAGTATTTCCTTGCTGAATGGCTTGTAAGCTCGAGACAAGTTCTCTGTGTGTGCTTTGTTGTCTTTCTGAAGGGGCGGTTGTATGGAATTTGATGATTCAACAGTTTCTCTTAAGTTTGCTGCACAGGAGCAATCAGTTCTAATATTTTCATCATTAATTCTGAACTTACTTTTTAGTTCTGAAGGTTGTGATGGGTGACAATAAAGAAGTGAACAGCCAGATGCAGGAACAGGGGTAGGTGTGGGCAAGGAATTTTGTTGTACTTCTGCAGGCTGGCAATCCAGTTTGAGTGCCTGAATTGCCGTATCCTTCCAGGAGTAAGTCTTCAAAGAAATGCGTTGCTTTTTCAGTCGTTCTTGCAGCTCATCTGGTCTAGTTATTTTTCCAATAATAGGAGAAAAACATCCTGTGCTGCATTTTGTCCTACAATGAAATGGTTTAAATACGTTAATGAACATAAAAACCCCCTATGTATCACAACTCCATATGCAACTGATCCTAGAAGAGCAACTGAACTGACAAAGCAGTTTTTCTTTTTACTTTTGAAGGAAAGATATATTTAGGGTAGCAACACACTATTTCTACAGAAACAGAGTGCCTTATGTTTGAATTTGATGTTTTCTTACTGATTCCTACAGCATATTATTTTAAAAATAACAAAAGTCTAGTATTTCAGTAAACCTCAATTCATGGAGGCACTAAGAACAGAAAAAGTTAATTAATATAATGCAATTACTCTAAATACTCATTAATATTCTATTATATATACACACAAAACTATAATTTGATTTTCTTGATAGGATTTTAAGTCTAACCACTTTGAATATATTGAAATCACAGAAGAAATAAAGGCTTGCCTTATTAGGCTATCAGTTGTTTGACTCTATTTGCATTTCCTTTGGTTTCACTAAGAATATCTTTGTTTCTTCAATACTTGTTGTTTTTTAATAAATAAATGAGAATGTTATTTTTTATCTCCTAATTCATTTGCAAAACATCAGAGCAATCTCAAATTGTATCACTGTTTCAAGTAACAAAGACACTGGTGCCCACAGTCCAAGGTATGAAACAAGCCATTCTAGCCCTTTCATGCTCTTGAGCTACAAAGAAGGACAATTTGCTTTTTTTGTCCAGCACAGAAGTCAGGAGGAGTAGAACATAGATAGGAAGTTTTTCCACAGGTAAGGAGATCAGACTGACTGAGTAAAGATAGCATTTGCTGTTCTTAGGCTACTGAAGATGACAGAAAGCATTCAGAGCAAGACATCCAGATACCACTGTCTTTCTATCAGCAATATTTAAGTACAATAGATATGGCTTTACATAAGCTGAAAGATACGTAGGACTACTTCTAGCAATTCAATTCAGTTTCATCTTTCTTTGATGCAATCTCCACTTCTGATTTTTTTTCCCCTAATTTCTGCTTTATAGAACTGGATTTGTCAGGTACAACTGCATTGCAAATTTCAGGACTTATTTCAGACTGAAAAACATGAATTTACTCTGTTCTATTCAGATCCAGAACTTCAGAACTAAATATCTTTATGTTCAATGTCTTGACTTACAGAGTCTTTAAAAGATAGAACATAAAACTCACCTTATTATTTTTGCTGTATCATCTTTGTATGCAACAAACTCATAAACTAACTTGGAGATTATATCATCAACAACTTTATATTGTGTGCTTTGTGCAAAATTTTGGTGCCGTTCACTTTCAAGATGCTGCAATTAAAGAAAAAACATGAAACAAATCTAATACTACAGATATGAATATACAAGTCATCAATATGATATGGAGTAGCAAGTAAATCTCATTAATTTATTACCAGCATCTCTAAGACATGAACTACTAGTGCCTTCAGCTATCATACATAGAAGCAGCGATCAAGAATTAAAACCTACAAGGGAAAAAATACCTACAGGCTGCTTTTTAGGATATATATTTGAAAAATATTTTAAAATAAAAACAGTTAAGACGCCTCTGTTGATACCAGAGTTTAGACTCTATCAAAGCATACACTTGACATTTCACGTACTGTTTGCAGGTCTTCATATTTCTTCCCACAACATTCACAATATCCTCTCTTTTTTTTGTCCTTCTGAGGAAGCTGAGCAGGCATTCCACAGTCCTTGTCACTATTTATTTTGTTTCTGTTAAGAGAGTATTAATAAGTCTCAAATATGGAACTGAGTTCTCAACTTTCCTCTCACATCATGTTCATTCTTATTCACTTAAAAAAACCCAAACCAAAACAAACCTTTATTTCCCCTTAAGCTATTTAAATTATGTTAGTCAACACTTAGGAAAAACAAAGAAAAACAACAACCACAAAAACAGCAAGAAGACAGGCAGACCCAGTGGAACTATATGTAAGCATAAGACATACAGGTTTGTACGTATGTACTATTATCACTAGCTCAGAACAAACACTGGAAAACTGCTAAACAAATAAAAAATTTCCTTGAAAACTCAAAGAACATATTGAAATCTCTGTGCTTAGCTGACAAAACCAAAACTAGGAAAAAACTAAAAAAAAGTCTTTTAACATCCACTGTCAGTATTTTTGATGTCTAGAAAACACACAGCAAAGTCCCCTGGTCTAACAGATGACCTCTTATTCCTTGCTTGTTATATTTATTATATATATATATATATATTACATATAATATATAATATTCCTGTTATATCTATTAAAAATAACAGTCGTATTTGTTGGTTATAGATAGATTTTGAATATGCTGATCAAATGCTATTTTGTATTCTTTTTCTAGGTAAAGGCTAAGTGAGAATGTAAGAAAATGAACCTCAAGTTCTTCCTGGAGATTAAAACATGAAGAGGTTTTCAATAACTGCTCCATGACCTTCAGAGTCCACATCTGGGGAGAGTTACTGTTTGCTGCAATTCACTATTAACCCACCTAAGGTTGATATACCAGCAGTATAGCAAAGTCATCAATCTCTACTCCCTTTTTACTTTAAAGGAATAGTGCCATCTCCCTGCCTAGCCAAAAATCATTCTGACAGACTTTACCAACAATCTGCATAGCTGTAAGCTCAGGAGTTTACATCAAATAACCTGTCTTGAACAATCTCTAGCATACAAAGCATAGCAATGTACTGCTCTGCACATTAAGGGTGCACTGCTTTCAACAACTGCTTTCAATCCACCAGTCCAAACTGGTCTAACACCTGCCCCAGCACTTCTCGGGTTCCCCAGGACAGGCTCCACCCAACTTTTGCTTTTATTTTTATACCAGCCTTCACATCTTCCCTCTTGAAAACAGTAAAATCACAGAAAACCAGCAAAGCAGGACATAAGCAACACAATGCATCATCTGAAGACTGAGTAATATCTGCAGGTCTTGCCCAATGCAGAAGTAAAACCGATAATTTGGCTTCAACAAGCTTTCCTCCCAGATGAAACAAGCAAGCATTCTCCTCACTCTCTCTCAAAGATGGAATTCCTCTCATCTACCTGCTGAGTATGAAAATCTCCCACCTAAATATCAGTTTGGTTGTGCCCACTTGAAAGATTAACTAGGAATATTCATTCAAATATAACCCCTGACATTTTAATACATCATATTCCTTAATCCATATAAGCAGAAATGGCCTTTTTGGGTTTTTTTAATGCTTTAAAAAGAATGGGCCTTTCTAATCCCCTTGGAAGAGACACAGTCAGAAACTGCCTTATTAATACAGCAGTAATCCTTGTAAGATATGTTTTTTGCTTTTTCATACTCATTGTAATTAAAGAAAACAAACAAAAATAAAAACCACAAAAACAAAACAAAACCAAACAAAACCAAACAAACAAAACCCCAAAAACAAAACACCAGAAAACCAACATCCTGGCAACATAAACTGAAAACCTCCAGGGCTATAATAATGGTGAAGACTGGACAGAAACTGTGGAGAAGTCATTTTATAAAGAAAAAACATGTATCACACATAAGTCTTCAACCCCAAGGACAGAAAAGCAGCAAGTTACTAAATACAGGAAGCTCCACACATAGCAAAGCTACCTTTCACTGAAATATCTTTAGTCTCTCACATGAATCAATTTTAGAAGTCAAATATGGTAGGTAGAAGAAACTCAAAACAATAATCTGATACACAAAAAACAGGTAATTAAGACACTAGTTAAATAGTTTCAAATCATAAAACTCATTTGCCAAAGTTTTAACTGCATCTGTAGTGCTCATGTAGAGCCTGATTGCCTAGATGTGTCATATAAACACTTGCTTTAAGAAAACTGCAATTCTACTGGGCAGCTAGCATCCACTTTTCATCTTTATACAGTCGAAGTAGTATTAGCAGTCTAATTCCTATAAATTATCAGTAATACGCACTCTTTATCAACAACGATTATGCCCTGTGATTGAACATCATTGCTTTAAAAAAATTTAACTGCCTACTTCAGCACTACATGGACAAACACAAAAGTCTTAAGAAATCCACTTTCTCTGAAATACTTACAGAATGGCACCCAAGATGAGGACAAAGAATAAACCAGTGGCAGAAAGGAAAAAAATATCTTATGCTGACCCACAGTGAAAAGAGAAGGCCGCATTTTTGGATGTATGTATCTGTATGTCCAAAAGAAGGAGTAAAGATAGAATAAAGAGTAGATAGACACCAACAGTGCAGTAAATACATCAGTTGAGACATGGCTAGCAGTATTAAACGGAACACAAAATTAGAAGAGCAATTATTTTAGAAAACAACTACTTATGAAATAATTTAGAGAACAGCCCTCTCCTCTACCCACACCTCAATAACAAGTTTTCAACAAACCTTTGCTTAGACTGAGTTTGCTTTTGACCAGAAGGATACTTCTTATCCACTTCAAATGGACTATATGGCTTCGGAACACAGTAGTTCAGAAACGGAAAACTGGGTAGTTGCAGATAAAACGGTCGGTACTGGCTGCATTAGACAAACCAAGTGCATCAGAACCATCAGAAACGGAAGAAAGATGTTCATAGCACAAATTACATCAGGTCAAAAAGCTTGAAAAACTGTTTCTCATATGACACACACAGAATGCTAAGCAAATAAATATCCTAAAACAAGTCATTCATCCCTTCCTATAAACTTGCTACTGTCTTTCAGTTTCTACAGCTGGGAATTTACACATTCCCTGGTGTATGATTTTCGTGCCTATTAATTGTTGTTTATTGGGTAGCCAATAAACCTAAAGATGGTTTGGACAACAGTGCATTTGTGCTCCTGAGAAGTAGCTACAGCAGTTCCTAACATCCAATGCATTAATTTTTACTTACTTTCACTCTACCATTTTCTTCTTCTTAAAAAAAAATTAATCAATTCACCATTCAAAACATAAAACTTAGAGATATCAGAACTAGCAACCATACCATTGCTCTAAATATATTAAGAATGGTTAAAATAGGGCATGCTGAAGTTCACATACTGGATCATGTAACTGAATTGCTGATGCCAGAATTCAGTCTGATTTCTTTCCTCCACATTACTATTTTAGGCTACCCAGGCAAAAACTAAAAGAGTAAGTCTGGAAGAAATAATAGGGATAGCTAAACATCTTGTTCTGCTTCTGAACTGTAACTTATGTTGCATAAAAACATGTCACATAAATATTCAAAAGTGCTTCAGGTGTTTAGTACCCATTACATTCTGAAGTCAGACTCACATATAAGAATTTCTTGTACTTACAACTGTATTGGTCCAGTTCTTACCACTATCCTCATGTCCCTTATACCTATTACACCAACTCAGTGTATAACAATGTTTAGATTTCTTTTTTTTTTTTTAATTCAGGGAAGTGTCAAAGACATCAGGTCAAAGAATTTGGCACTTACAAACAATGTCATAAAGCAGAAGTTAGTTAGGAATTCAACGGTGCAGAAGATGCTGTGCAGAACTGCACCTTTTTCACAATTCATTGTTCTGTCAGCTTCTGGCAAACTGGTATTTTCTTACACAGCCAGGTCTGATTGAGACCAGAAAGAAGTGAAAATTTTCAAGGCTGAAAGTATCAGATTTCATGCTACCTGTGGATAATGAAATCAGATTATTAGCTGGGATTTTTACTTTTAAAAAGAAATGACTGAACAAGAAATTAAACCTAATTTCAAGGAATGATTTTAACTGTAACAACTTCCCTTTCTTTACATCCAAATGGTCTCAGCAGGAGATGAATGTTATTGAGTTGAAACTCAACAGGACTGGAATTGAGTATAAGTTTTATTTGCCTTTTGGGCTAAAGGATTTAGATATAAGAAAAGATGTAAAGGTTCAAACCTTCCAGGTTTCCCTTTCATTCATATGGCCTTTGGCAGAAAGTAACCCAAAGAACCCATCCTCATGATACAAAAACTGGAGCTACCTATTAATTTTCCAATTCCATTACCTATTGCAAATATTCCCTACTATACTACTACTTCTCAATCTCATTTGGTAGCTGAACACATTTGTATCTTTTTATAAGAGGACAGTATATCTGGCATCTAAAGTCAGGGAGCTGAAGGAAAATGAGATATAAGGACACACTTGATCAAGTAATTCTCAGTTTGAGAACCACATTACTGAATGCACAAAGAGAACACTTACCGGCTTGCATCTTCCACCCTGATAAATGGATTTTTCAGTCTACCTGTTCAAGAGGACAGAAAACAAAATTCAGAGAGAAGTTCAGCAAGTTACTACAGTAGGTGAATAAATTAGAAGACCGTATTTTAGAACTCATTATGTGCACGTTTTGACACTCTCTGAGTTCCACAACATTTTTCTACGTACTTTTCTTGGGCATATAAGTTGGGATAAGATAGAGCATGACATGACCACATGAGAACTGTAGTACATTTTTAAGCATTCAGAAAATAAAGCAAACCAGAAACTTCTACAATTATTGAAATACTTACTTTTTGTCTTTTGAGCAGTAACATGTTTTCCCTATTGAAAAAAGAGAGAAGGTATAAAATCCTTGTGAATATTATTCTGCAGTTCACTTAAAGATTTAGCTATTGGTAATTTAAGTTATGAGGGTCTCCCTGTGTTAACCATGACTTCATACCCAGTCATTATCAATTTTGCAAGAAACTAAGCTCATCAGTAACTCACAAATATGGTAACATGTTTCCAAAAGAAATATTTATCTCTACACTGAAAAAACAAAACAAAACCCCAACAAAACCAGTGTTCTCCTTCAGATGCTTCAATTTGTTTTTCCTAAAACCAAAATGAAACAAAGAAACCTACAAAGGTAAAATTATACATTAACTCTCTCCTCCCTGAAAATACCTTGCCACGGTTGCAAGTTGATTCTCAAATACAGATAACATTTTTACAATGCTTTTTAAATCCTAATTCATTGCAATCTGCAAATGCAAGCTGTAAAATGCCACCAAAACCAGCATACAGAAACATTCTCCAATTAAAACAATTCTTTTCATTTGAATAGATTTACACAGGTTTGGTCTTTGTTTTTAGCAATGAAGATTAAAATTAAACAGAATATCTGTTTAATTCAGGAAAAAAAAAGTAAATTCTATATTCAAGCATCAACTGCTAGCTGTAATGATTCTGGTAAAGGTAAAAACTCATTTTATATTACTTGTAAATAAATCCCACCCTGCTATCCATGAACACACTGATGATTTGGCAGAGGATTTTATGTGGCCTCAATAATTAGCCAACATTGCATTCCAAAACAACACTCACTAGGTATTTTCATTCCATTTCCTTATCAGAGCCCCACGCACAGATTGGACAATTGGACAACTTCATGTGTTTAATTTAAATTACAGAGCAACTCCAAGTTTTAATGTCTCATTATATCATACACTAAAAACCTGAGAAACTGGGACATTCACATGCAAAATGCACATTATTGGCAGAATAGCCTGAAGATGCTTTCTGCTATTTCTTTACAAAGGAAAAATTGCAGATTCCTTGTAGTGACAGCTTCTCCAGGAAACGTACTATGACTTTTCAGAATGGCTCATGAGAAGTAAAGTGTTTCTAATCACTGTGTCACAGGGAAAGTTATACAAGGCAACTTAATGGTAATTTACATCAATAATTTTTTTATTATTTATTACTTTTGAGGCATGCAGAATGGAAACTTTAGACAGCTCAGCACTTCTTAGATATCCTTTGCAAGAGCAAAGGACTACACATTATGGAATCAATGCTACTATGGAAGTAATGTTTTAATAGCTTTGAAAGCTATATATATAGCTAATACTTCATATTTTTGAAGATGTTTTTTAAATCAATTCAGAAAACATAATGGCCTGTGAAAATTGAATATGAGCAAGACTTCATTAAAATAAAATATGTAAGTTTTACAGCAAGCAGTATTTAATGTTTTGGTGTTTTCTCAGTTAACAGAACAAATAGCATTCTCACAAATAGCAAAGAGACACTTACCACATCTTTAAAAGAATTGTCTCCTCTTTTGATTAGATAGAGCTCCCTTTTCTTTTGTTCAATACAATTCTTAACATCTGGCAAAAAGAGGGAGAATCATACTCAGTTTTTTGTATCTCTGATGTAATTGTAATTTTTAATATTTTGAATTCAACAAAAGAATAATTACATGAATGTTACAAGTTCAAGTCAGGCTTTGTCTAACAAAAATATTTACCATCAATATGAAGTATCTTCACTCCCCAACTCAAAGCATTGGACAGTATACTACCAGAGGGGATTAAATCCTGCAAACAATAAATTAGATTAATAATCTAATGCAATAAATAGTAGATTTAAAATAATTACATATACATTGCAACATGTAATATGAAAGCTGAGATTAAAATGCAGATGCTTTGCTTTTTGCCAAAAGACTACTGCTCTTGTCAACTGACTTTGCCATCTCTGTGTTACAGCACTTTACCATCAAAAGACATATTTAAACTTTCAGAAAGCCAGAACTGTTCTCTATTGTCACATTTTATAGCAAGATTGGAACACAGTGAATTGATACATTTTCTTTAACTTCATGAGCACCTCTCAAATACAAGTTATATTAGCAATCCTTACAACTTTTAATACTCGTCATAAGACTTTACAGACTTTTAATTCTTCAGGAAGTATCCAAAAAGCATGATTTGACAGTTTATTTAGGACAATCCCTCAACTTCTGCCTGAGCATTCCAAGCCTGACTTCTCTCTAAGACACTCTTACTACAGCTTGTTTTCTAGAAGAGCAAAACCAAAGTTTCTGAAGCATGAATTCATTGATTACGTGGTGTACCTGTTCTTTGATTGCTTTTTCAACCAAGGATTTCCCTCTGCTCATACGCACCTAAATTAAAACAGAAACACATTTGTAGCAAGGTGAGACAATTCACATTGCTGTTAACAAATACATGTTAGCTATGAGAGTCTCCTTTTGTTCACTGCACTGCTAATTTTTCAGTAATGTGCATCTTCCTCACAGGGTTACAGCTGACACAGTCTAAGGGAAAAAACCCCAACAATCTAAAAACACCCAACAAGTAATCATTTTCAGCCAAAGCAGATCACTGCATGGCTGAAGCAGTGTTAGTGCTGGAACAACACAGATGCTGGGAACAAGCAGCTAGTGACACACACCAAATGGTGTGATGATGAGGTTTCATCAGCTGGGGCTTGTGCAAATTAGGTTATAAATATTATCACAGCCTCTGTCTTAGCACCTTCTTTTCTATCACCAGTGAATCTCCTTTTGTACTTTATGCTGCTTATGCATAATGAGCTGCCTTTGCCTATCCAGGTATTTACAAAATAAGGTTACCTCACCTATGCAGTGCAAAGACTAGCCTGCAGAATGGCCCACAGTCATGCTTCTTAGTAAGTACCACACACATAATACAGCTAATTACTTCCAACTGTATTTTGAAAGGACACAAGACTTGTCCATGTAAGAAACTTCACATAAACCTGCATAAATTCAGATACTAAATTAACAGTGTACATGCAATTAACATGATCCTCTAAGAAAGAGCTCAAAAAGCTCAGCAGTCATAACGTTCAATTTTAATTATTTCTTTCAACTACTATGCAAGAGAGCTTCTGTTGATATCTGCACTAACAACACATCAGTCAAGGCTTTATTAGGCTGTGTTTCTAAAGAGAGGAATCACTGAATGCCATCACATGCCTATCCATATTGATCCAGCTGTCAAACATAATAATGTCACTATTATCAGTCAGACATACTACCTTAGAACAGATTTTAGTGTACTCTGCTTATTTGCAAAAAAGGCTCCTTTTTAAAATTAGTTTCTGAAACTCTGCTGAATTAGTTTTAGTTAAATTTAACAACTTAGCCTGAATAACTTGAAAAGTATCTTTGAAAGAAAACCCCTTATTCACCCAAAGAACTGCTGCCATCTTTAGGAAGCTAAATAGAAGGAAAATTCTAAGACCATATCCCTCCCATGGGTTGTACCCGATTCGAAATATTATTACTAAGAAACTTACTGTATCTACCAACTTCAATGAACTTCCATCACGTTGATCTTTTCGGTTGCTAGGATGAGGTGAACCATTTCCCCCAACACCTGCAGATTCTGGGCTAGGAACAGGAGAAATCTGGCCGCCAAGACTTCGTGCAAATTTGGCCTCCTTTTTATTAGTCACCAGATAGTTGATATCCTTACTAAGGAAACTCTCCACCCTCTAAATATAGAGATATAAACAAGTCCTCATTTCAGGACAATAGATCAGCAACTCAAATTTTACATTGCATAATTAAAAGTCATAAAACTTCTAGAATAACTAAGTACAAAAACACTGAATTAACAAGAAGATATTTTCTAAATATAGAGATGCAATAGCATCTTACCAGTCACAAATTGTAAGTTCCATTTCTTAATTTTGTAATCTTTATCAAAAGAGCCTTACAATGTTTTGATTATTATAATTTTTGGACTATCTATCTGTAATACCTTCCAAATAGAAAAATTCAATACTGCATTGAGGAATAACAGAATAAATCATGGTAAACCACTGTCTACATCATTTTATGTAACAGAAATTACACAGACGTGTTCAGCTAAACTTAAAGGCATGTGCATGCAAATGTATTTTAGTCCGCAAGAAGCTATAAATTTACTGAGTTCAGAACCAGAAGAAAAATTAAAATGTCAGGAGAGTTACCATGTTTCACATCTATAGTATTTATGACACTTCTCCAAAAGGTAAAGTCTTTAGTAGATTCATATTCTCATACTCAGCAATATAAATATGCAGGTACTCTATGCTTGTTCTATTTCGCTCCTTCAGTCTTTCATTGCTAACTATCGAGTGATTATCACCTATTTGCCTTGTTATTTCTTGTCAGCTTATGTAGTTTAATATATTTTCCTCTCTTCAACTAATCAATCAGCTTGGAAAGCACAAATCTCCCAGATAGCAAGCTTGAAACTGCCTTTCAACGGTGCTCTATGCAGCTTTTACAGAAAGAGGATATAGAGGCACTTTTGAGTGCACTCCACACAAGTAACAACAAAACGTGGTAATTGATCTTGAGGGCGTTAGAGCACCTCAGTCGGAGGCATTTACTCCTCAGAATAAGCCACAAAAACTTCCTGTGATTTTTCTTTCTGTGATTTGTAACCTTACCTTTCACATATGAACTCCTAAAATTTTTTTTCAGAGAGAAAGACAAAAGACAGAGTGCACTTATTTGACGTAAATGTAAAGTGATGCATTTAATTTGAAACCATGTTACTGCTACTCCCTACTGCTCCTGTGATTTCAGACAGCACCTTGATTTACAAGCATCAATTTCATAAAGCTGCTCGGTGTTCCTCTGAGTTCAAAGAAGCATTGCCAAAGCAACATTCAAAACAGGTAGCCATTTAAGCAGATCCCTTCTGCCTCTGTGCTTAAAAGGTATTTAATTCTCTAACGGCCAAGTTTTCTCTACGTCAATTCAAATATTCAACTTTAAAAGAGAACTAAGCAACTGCATTGCTTGTGTTACTATCATATCCTGTAATTGCTTGTATCAAAGTTTCTTCGATACAGAAGAGAGAATTAGGAAAACAATTAGTAAGATGCATATACAATTTATTATTTAAATAAGAGTATTCAAAAATACTCATTAACATACCCTGTGCAAAAAGTACTCAGTGAAGTTACTGACTTACAGTAAGCATATGCAAAACTCTTCCTTTAATCTCTTTCAGGTTCAGCTGAACAACATTGTAACATGTAAAAATGTCAATACAGTCAGAAGCAGCAGAAAAAAATCGCCTCAAACGATAAAACTTAATAAACTTGGATAAGTTTTAAGCCAGGTGAAAAATCAACTGAATACAAACCTTAATAATAAAAACTTTTGTTACAATCAGCAAAGCAGGTTCTCTCAAAGAAACACAGAATAACTTAATGATAAGCTCATTGTTTGTATTAAACATTAAGACAAACATAGAAAAATAAAATCCTCTCACAGATAAAGTACATATAACATCAAATGTTATTTATAAAGTCAAAATAATATAACATGAAAGAAACATTCCACATGTCCAAATTTCCTTCTAGATTAATACAGGTCTCTATTATAAACTTACCCCTCCCAGCTCTTTGAGGTCCTTTCCTAATTTTTCAGAGATCACATTGGATGGGATATCGAGGTAAAACAGCTTCCCAGTGAGTGGCTTATATTTAAGTTTCTCTGGTTTTCCTGTATCTTTTTTCACATTCTTGAGAGAAGATCTTATCTTTTCTGTTTTTGCTTGTATTCCATCTGCTGGGAAAAAAAAGGCAATTTAAACAGAACTTTTTTTTTTAAGGAAAATTCCTAAGTTATGGCAATGGCCACGGTAAGCTTCCACAGAACCATACAATGGGGCTTGGGCTGGAAGCGACCTTAGAGATCATTTGGTTTCAATCCTCCACCATACACGGGGACACCTTCTATGAGACTAGTTGCTTGAAGACCTATCCAGCCTGGACTTTAACAGGACTTTTAAAAAACAGCTATTATGTTAAACATGTCAAAATCCAAACATTAATAATACCACCTCATATGGCCCTTAAAAGTTTCTCCTTAAAATAATATGCTATAATGAACTTTTCATTTCAGTTACTATACAATACTATCAATTTTCTCAGCAGTTTGACAAGTATTTGCTACCAAGAGAATGAGGGCTGGTAAAGGAAGTGAGCAGGCTTCTTCTGGACACAAAAAACCAACATGCAAAACAGTCCCTCTGTAAAGTTCTCTTTCCATCCCTGAAACACTCTCAGATAGGAGAGGGAGCAGCAGAACTACCACTCTTGCTGCAGGAGTCTCTGTTTATGAACACACTAAGTGGGGCAGGAACAGCAGTCAGCTTTGTTAGAACCTAGAAGACAAAAAACCCTAGAGAAACAGGAAAATGGGGAGGCGTAAGATGGTGTAACTGATCCAGAATGTAAACGCAAAAAAAGGACGATAAGCAGGCGTGCAAGCGCAATTCTGTAGATGACCAGGGCAGTTCAAAAATCAACACGTTAAACACTATTAACACCGGACCATGCATTTTAAACTTCCCGGGACGATCGAAAGTTCGGAGCGGCTTAGCAGGCCCGCAGTAACAACGAGGAGCCTCTCCCGCAGAGCGGCCGCGCTCTCACCCCGCGGGCCCAGCGAGCCTCCGGTGCTCCCGGCGCCAGCAAAGGCCTGCCCGGGGAGGGGGGGCGGCTCGCACGGCAGCGGCCCCGCCATTCCCCAGACACCCCACGGCCTCCCTGCCCCGCGGTTATCTTGTAAAAGAGAACGAGTCAGCGCCAAGGCCACGCTTTTCCGTTTAACTCCCTGAACCACAACAAAGCCATAGCCGGGAAGGCCGCCCCGGCCCCAGGCCGCGGCTGAACGGCACCCGCTGGCGCTGGGAGAGGCCTGAGCCCCCCCGGCCACCCCCAGACCCCGTTGCTTACGGAGACGAGCTGCTCTGTCGGCGGCCTCAGCAGCGCTCGGCTTCATCTTCCCGCGGAGTCACATCCTCCCCTGCCCCGCGGCCGCCGCTACCTGCGGGGGCAGCACGGGCTGCCCGGACCCCTCACGGCCCTTCCCGCCTCCGCCGGGCCCGGAGCTGCCACCGCCAACGGCCGGGCCGGGGCGGAGCGAGGGGAGGGCGGAAGGAGGGAAGGGAGAGAAGGGAAAGAGGAGGCCCTGGGACAGGAGGTTGGCGGCCGTGAGTGGGGAGGCGGGACGGGAGCACAGCCGCCTTCCCTCCTCACCACCCCTGAGGGGCGGTGTTGGGATCGCGGGGAGCTCTGCCCGTGGCGAGCACAGCCCGGGCGCTGCTCGTAAAGGGTATGTATGTGCGCTACTCTGGGCACTGGGCATTAAGAAAGCCAGTTTTTTCCCCGCCCACACCCCTCTTTATCAGTTGCTAGCACCTGAGAAAAAAGTCTTATTTTATGCAGGTTCAGCTTTCTTATCTTTCACTTGAAACTTGGTGAAAACGACGTGACATTATATTCCTGTAGAGCAGATAAAAAGCTTAGATCAGTGTCAGCTAATAAAGCTAGGACTGCACTTATGCACAACGTGTATTTTGGAAGATATGTCTTTATTTGGGGATTTTGTATTGTGAAATATTTTTTTTGTATTGTTCTCTTCTGCCCCGGGTAGCTGCAGATATTGTGAGTACTTTCCTGAATTGTAACCATGCCTTGGCAGCCATACAGCAGGATTTAAGGAATTAGTATTTGATAGTAGCGTTAATGCTAGTTAGTCATTGTTTCTTACATGGGTAGCTTACCAGAGTATGTAGTCATCACCAGCAGGCTGTGAGTGCTGGATCAACCAGGAGACCTTTCTGGATTTTCTCACAGGAGTGAGGGGAGTAAGACAAGGGCTGGATGAATTACTCTGCAGTGCTACAGTTTATGGGCCGCAGGCTGGGAATTTATCTCTGTGTGGATTATTGACATGTTCCTAAACACTTCGTTGCAGCAAAAGGTAAAGATTTAATGTGTTTTACAAAAACATATAAACGTTGGAGTTCGTGTAAGAAGGATTTAAAAAATTTATTGTCTTTAGGAAACTTACTTAAAAAGCAGGGCTTAAGTATTCTAATCTCAGAAATTCTGGAGATGCTTTTATACAAGTAGAAAACTAATACTGCTGCCTATGCATAGCACATTAATGAAAATTTAAAATATTTTTTCCCTTGATTTTTTTTTCTGCAAGTTTTGAGCATAGTCTTGCAATATGTTTTTCTGTTCCTTAACAGGTTTTTCTTCTCCAGGGATACAGCCATGGCTGAAATGAGTAACAGCAACTTAGAAAAACCAACCATTATTCAGCAAGCGATGGCCTCTTGTTGTGGAGCTATAATTACATCATTACTTGGTAAGGCAAACTATCAAGCTTGCCACAGAGAGAATCTTTACACATGATTACTCTTCAGTTTGACTCATCATGATGTCTGCATATGTATTTCCACTAATATGTTCAGCAAGCATGTTTCTGGATATTTTTTGTGTGTGTTTTAAAAAGTGTGGTTAGTTGAAATCTTCTCTGTCCTAGTAATCTTTAACCATTTCTAAAACTACGAGTAATATTTAATAACTTTTAATTTCTATTTCTTTTTTTCTCTTGGTGTAGTTATTAATTGTTTTTTGTCTAGAAGAAACAAAATTATCAATAAAAATTAATTTCTATCCTTCCTGCTGCTTAAAAAGATATGTTAAATAAAAGTCTACTTTACAAGACACAAATCCTTCATGTTACCACTTCAGCAGTAAGAATTTGTGCTGCTGTGATATCTTACACTGTCAAAGCCTTTTCTTGTTGGTTTTTGTTTGGGTTTGTTTTTTTCTCTAAACATTGCTTTTAATAATAGCTTTTTATTGCCCTTTTAAACTGCTGCATAGCTGGTGGAATTAATTCTCTGCTTCATGTTCAGTCATCTCATTGAGGACCTCCTTTCCCGTGCAAACCTAAGGAGACATTGTTTGCTTAGATTCAGTGCTTCCTGTCTCTTGAAGTTCCCCCAGCTCATTAGCTCACACTCTGTATTCCTGTTACTTTTAGTCTGAAGATAGCCTTTGCTTCTGACTTTTAATGTGGATTAAGCTGCATAGAAACATGCAATTTTCTAAGCACGATTTCTCTCCCCACAAATTTCCAAAAGTTTACAAAATACTATCTTACCGGGAACCTTTCAAAGTCATAGTCTTTTTGTTCCATCTTTATACCACCTGTCCTGTGACCTTAGGTAAAGTACCAAGCAAAGCTACATCAGAGCTGTGGAATTCCCAAGATGGATTTCAATTGTTGGTACATACACACAATTCTACTACAGTATAAGGTGCTGGTATTTGAGAGAGAGAAAGGAGAGGTATAGGAGACCTACTCCTTTCTGAAGTGCCTCCTGGAGAGGAGCAAAAACATCTGTGAGTGGCTAAAATGCTACCGGATGGACAACTTTTAAGCAACTTGATGAGTTGCAGCAGTAACATTGAGATCCCTGCATTCAGATACTGAAATGTGAGCCAAGTATCCACCACCTGTTAGTGAACTGAGAGCCATCAATGGAGAGCTAAGGTGTAACTCCATTGCCTGTGCACAGGAGTGTTTCAGTGAGATGTGTGCTAGTGTGTTCGACTTAGACTTTAGGTGTCACTTGGTAAGTAAGGTTGGAGGTCCTGTGTCATTTTTGTCAACTATGTAGGTATTTTGGATACCTCAGAGACTCGGATGGCACTGGCTGCTTGTATGTAGGCAACGGAATTGAGCCCTCAGTCAATATAATAAGAGTCTGGTTCAGCTGCCCAGCCACTCTGGAGTTCAGCATGTCTAGGCCTGTAAAAATTGTAAGGGCTGGAGTGGAAGCAATGAAATGTTCACTAAACCTTCATTTACTTATTAACAGCCTCAGTCTTCTAGATATTGTCTACATACAGAAAAAAAGAAAAGTACTTCATGAGTTTAACATTTTTCTTTTGAATGTTGCTGTTACGGTCACTTTATCGAAAAAGAATAAATGAAGCATGCTGTGTTATTTTACATGCTGGAGTCCAAAATCTGGTCTTATATGCCTTGTGGTATGCTACTTATAAAAGTTTAGCAGCAGAGCATAAAATAATAAGTTTTAGCAATTTCAGAGAAGATGACACAAGATGAGCTTTGTGTATCTCTAACATTTGATGCCTGTGCAACTGTTAGTACATTAAAAGATATATTTGGTTGCTTGCAAACTATACAGGATTTATAGTTCTCCTTTGCCTCTGTCTGATAACACCTCCTTTTCCTCTGCCTGATAACATTGTAAAGCTCTTTTTTATCTCTGGCAAAAAAAAAAAAAAAAAAGGTAGAAGTTAATGATAAGGCATCTGTACACTTCTGCATTTTCAGGCCGTGCAGTGTGTTTCTAAATGACTTCTGTTTCTTTTTAGTATCTCCTCTTGATGTTATCAAAACTCGGCTGCAAGCCCAAACCAATCCATTCCCTAAAGGTAAACAATACCTAGTGTCACTGGGGACACAGTTTGCTTTTTGCTGATGTATTTAGCAGATAGTTGTCATAATGCTTTGCTCAGGTGCTTAATGTTTGTGTCTGTTTCACAACAGTGAGTTTGTTTCTGCAGTATAAGTGGGTGGAAAAAGGCAACACATATACTGAAATTGGTAAAGAAAGAATGTGACAGTGAACAGTGGAGATAAAAATTCCCATCAATACCTACCATTTTAAACAGCCCTTTTTTCCCCATCTTTCTTAATATTTTCATTATGGTAGAAGAACTAACACTGAGTTGAGTTAAAACATAAAAAACTATTAATAAATAAGTAAATAGTATGTCAGAGGGCTTAGGTGGCCAGGATGCTATATCAAAGTTTACCTTATCCAGAATCTAGAGATTTTGAAATACAGAAGTTACTTGCCAACTGGGTTTTAAATACATGAAGACATTGTGCTCTCAGAAATGTGGTTTTGGTTCCTACTGTTTACTTGTATGTGATAAATGAAATTTAAAAGGCGAAGATGACTAGTGTTGCATGTTGAATGTTGAGGTGAATATTTGTAGTCACATTTGCTGTAAATTGGGAAAAATACTTGTGCCTTCTATCCTGATTTTTAGTAAATTCTAAAGACAGAAATCTGAAAATGTGAGGCTCAAAATATGTTTTTGTAATGGCAGTAATATTTTATCAAACGGTTTCGAAGTACATGAGGCAGAAGAAATAAAAAACAAGTAGAGAGGATGATCTAGTCCAGCCTAAGGTATAATAATGATACAGTCCAGATATAATACTTCCACTTGTAATGTGGATGCTTCGGCTACTTAATAAAAATCCTGAAGTCTGAAACACATTCACAGTTAGATACAATAGTGACATTCAGGTCTTGTGCTGCTTTTAGCCTTCAGCAGATGGTAGTATAACATAAACATGTGTCCTGGAGCCTTACGAAGGCAGTTCCATTTAGTCTGGCACTCTGGGGAGTACATTTGTGCCCTCTTTCCTTTTACCTAATTTGTTGTTACTGACTGAGATTATTTTTTCCTCTGTGTCTAACCAGAGATAAATCTGTATTGCCGTGATATCCAATTTGAAATTGCTGCTGTGTAAGAATGATCTTGTGAGCGTTAACTCTATTCTTATACACCATTTTATTAGGAAAATGTTTTGTATACTCTAGTGGCCTTATGGACCATATATGTGTTTGTGAAAATGGGGACAGCAAAGCCTGGTATAAAAAACCTGGGAATTTCAAAGGGACGTTGGTAAGAACATTTTACATGTATATAAAACCATAAATCTTCAAGCAGCATACTGTAAAGTTATTTGGGGTTTTTTTGGGGTTCTTCTGGAATCTGTTGTTATTCCAGAGGATCTTCCTGTGGTTACACTGTGTAATTTATATGGTGATTAGTGATACCTTCTACTTTCTATAATAAAATACATATTCCTTCCTTAAGATGAAGAAGGATGCACAGCTTTCCTCACAGATTACTGGCTCTATGATTTTATTTTCCCCACTCGATCTGTATTGCCAATAGTTGCTGATTGCAGGTAATGATTATCTGTTACCTGCTCTCACTCTTCTGTGTCCCAGTATGCTCCTGAGCTGAAGTAACAATGCAGATAGTGTTTTAAAGTTAAGTTCATGAGTCAAGTTCTCTATCCGTTGAAATTTGTAGGACTAGCATGTTCCCAGACACTTGAAACAGGCTTGCTGTCAGACACTGTCCTGCTAGCTCATTAATCAAGATTTTTATGGCTCTGCCATTAAATTAAACCAGAATTAAATTTCTGAAAATGCGATGTTAATGCAAAAGGTGTCTCAGCAGTTCTACAGTGCAGTTTTTTTTTAATTATTAACTTCACAAGTGTGAGTTTTTTTTCAATTAGCTTTACTATATAATTTTAGAAAGTCAGTTTTCTACTTGACATGAATTTATGCCCATTTTTGCTGTAACAAGGTGATTCTTAAAGAAGAATTACTATAATATCATTGATCTCTTTCTTTATTAAAATGAGTCCACTCTTTTAGCTATACCTTCCTGTTTTGTAAATATGTTGAAGCTGGATTATAAGCATTTTAACTAACTAGTATAGAAGTAGGAGGTTTTTTTTGTCTAACCACGATAGGACTTTTTAGGGATTCATTCAAAGTTCTATTTTTACTAGTCAGGTTTGTTTTAATAAATTATGTCTTTGTTTTCCCCATTCAATTTTTTATCTCAGTGGATTAGTTCATCAAATCTCCTGTAAAGACTTTTCTTCCTGCAAGTCCTTTTTGTGGTCTGTCAGACTCTCTATGTTTTGAGGCCCTGTGATAATGTGTGGTCTTAAGCATATTGTAATCCATCAAATCTCAACCTTTTCCCCAAAAAGTTTAAGAAAATCAGGTATCCTAATATTGGAGAGTTGGTCTTTTTAATGGTGCTTTCAGGTCATCTGGGAATATATTGACCAGCTGTAATACTAGTTGCAAGCTTCCAAGTATAGAGTATAGCGTATATACATTGCATGTATGTTGTCACTTTCTCTGTTGTCAGAGAAAGCAAGTATTGAAGAGTCATTGAGAATTAATTGCTATTTCATGCCTAGAATCTTCGTTATGTATTGGAAAAATATTTTAGTCATTATTTTGGAGAAGTTTCCACAAGTTGCATCAGTGCCATATTAGTTCTGAAAATAACTTCTTCACAGGGCTGTCAGTCACTGATAAACACTTACTACTTTGGTCTTTTAAAGGTGGAAGAAAATTCTTAATTTCAATCACAAAAATTATTCTGTTCAGCTCAATGGAACTATTTACATGATTAAATATGATAGCTAGTGTAAGCTATCTTACAATGATAAGCCACTTTAGAAACATACTTTTAAAGATATTAATTGTGTGTTCTGCCAGCTGAAATATATTACTGACTACAAAAGTTTGCAGCTAATTATTTCTCTTTGCCTGGTTATACTTTTAGGATGCATTTGTGAAAATTATTCGAATAGAGGGAATTAAGTCACTGTGGAGTGGGCTTCCCCCAACATTGTAAGTTGAATGTTCTGGTTTTGGTAACATGAGTTATTGTTAAAAAACCTATTTAATTATTTAGATAAATTATTATGTATATTTTTAAGTTATTTTTTAAATTCAGTCAATTCTGAAGTTACAGAGCAATCAGTTCAATCAGAAACATCTAGGGACAGTATAATTTTTGCCAGATCTCCAGATTTTTCTGATATTTTCTCAGTAATTAAGCTGGAACATTAGAATTCTCACTGTGCCTTTTAGAGGTGGTATCATAATTGTTCCTTTGATGGATGGAAAGTGATCACTAGAGAATGACAGTTTTTGACAAATACTTACTGGTCTATCTTGTTACTAATGACTTTCCATCAGCAGCACAGCTGTTTCCAGATGCTCTGGTGTTGCACCTCATTACCCTCATTTAATTCTTGTAACCATCATCTTTGTTTCAAAGGACTTTGTTGGAGGTTTTATCTTATCTGACTTTGCAGTGGAAAACAGACAGTTCATTTTCTCTCTACATATTATCCATATTAAGCTGGTGCAGATAGAAATTAAGACCTCTATAATTACGTCTTCCTCCGTAAACCAAGAAAATAATCAAATCTAAGATCTGTGTTGCGTCTTGTAAGTCATGAAGTGTGGCCCAGAAGGAAAGCAGTGGCTCACATGTTTTTGATTTGCAGACAGTACTCAGTATATAGACACAAGAAAGAAAAGCATGGTGGAGCTCAGCCTAGTTATTTATCCTGCAGTATGCAGCAATTTAGAATTATAAACCTTTAGGACCTGACTGAACTATTTAAATCAATACAGTTTTTTTATTGAGCTTGTGTTCTGAACTCCAGCAGAAAACTAACCTCCTGATTGGAGAGAGGTACACAGTTTTTAAGGGATTTAAACTATGGCTTGTTGGTTTTCCAAGCATGACAGTCCACAGTGTTTTTAATAATGGTGGTGCTTGCTACATTGGTCCAGACATGACACAAAAATGTAATTGCCATTTTATAGTAAGATGTGGTGCTTTATCCCTACACTGAATGATTAGATCTAGCTGTTGCTATTATACTCTGTACTGTGCTGGAATGGAAGAAGCTTGTATTTATGAATACCACATTGTCTCTCAAGTAGTGAGAATCATAACTGTTGATTAATATCAATATTCTCCAATTGTTAAATAAATAAAAATTTATTGTTAGTTGCATTTCTGTAATGTTTTGTTTGGTTTCTCCATATTCAGATCTTTCGCTTCCATTTCTTTATCAAAATAGTTCTGAAGCTGATGTGAAATAAATTTTGGCTAAGATAATCCACCATCATTTTACTTACAGTTTTCCCTAATGAAGTGAAAACCTGGGAAATCTGTGGATTGAAACTCTGAACTAGAGGCAGTGAATCAAAGCCACAGGATTTATGCTTTTTTCTTCATTCATAACACACAGCTGGAAATTTAACTCTTTTTTAAATGTATGTAAAATATCCATACGTGACAGTTACCTTTAATCTCCTGCTTTCCTTGTATTTATTTAAATTATCTCTCTTATATTTTAGAATAATGGCAGTTCCTAACACAATAATCTATTTTACCCTCTATGACCAACTGCGTGAAGCTTTGAAATACAGACTGGAAAAGGATGATGGATACATTCCAGTTCTTGCAGGTTCCTTAAGCAGATGTAAGTTGTCACCTGTTTAAAGAGAAAATTGAAATACAATACCTGTATGCTGTTTTCTTGGGTTTGTTTTGTTGATTTTTAAGTAAAGTAAGTTTTCTGTTTCTTTAAGTGAGGGATAGGAAGGAATACTTTAATTACCCAGTACTTCTTGGGCAACAAAACTCTCTAACTCGGAATAATGTGATTTGTTTTTGCTGTTACATTTTTACTACATTTGTAATTTGGTCAAAATTTTATATTTGTATTTCTAGACTTCTACCAATTACAGTTTAATTTAAGTCTGTTCTGTCATGAATCTAGCAATAAACATCATTGTTTTCTGTAAGGGCAGCTACACAGGTATATATAAGGAAAATGGAAACTGGACTTCTCTTAGAATTGGACTGGTTTTACTGCTGTATGATGTGGACTGAATTTGCTTTTATATTTTCTTAGTAGCCTTTTCCTCATCTATTTTTGTAGAAGTAACAGAGATCATATATTTTAGGGCTTTCTTAGAAGAGTCTGATGATGTAGTTCCATATTGTACTTGTGACAACCGTGGGGACGCTGGACGACTGGTTGAAAAAGTATTGCTGTTCCGTGGTGGTGTGGCAAAGTGCTCTTATTAGGATGTTTCAGATTTTAAATGCACATGTTAAACCTTATCCCAGCAACAGAAGAAAAATTCTTGGATCTAGTAAAATTGTTAATGTCTATTACATGTGTGATGGGAGCTTGTTATTGATTGAGTCATGACTCACTGACCATTGTGCAAGCTGAAAGAGAGTCACTTTATCAGATACAGATTGCCTGCTAATTATTCTTGAGAGTTTAAAATAAGAATGGCAAGGGTGCTTAGAAATCAATAAACCCTCAATCTCCAGCAACTACTTTTGTCCTTAACACAAAAAAGCCTTAAACCCTAAGGTCACTTTCTTCAAGTTATACTTTGAAATGGCAATTATTGAAAATTAACGTTTAGAAGTACTTGAAATTTGCAGCCTATTTATGTATTTAATCTGAAAATGAGAATTCTTAACATGTTACATTGATTACAAGAGGCCAGTATTGAAAAAAACCCTAAACCAGAAAGTGTAGGTACTGTGAATAGATGTAGTGCTCTTATTGGGAAAGGAAACTCATTTTGGAAAGGAAAACAGAAAAAGGAAAATCAGAGTTGAAAAGAATCAAATATATAAAGCAAGGTGAGATGTGATTTCACTATTAAATGCTGATTTGAAAAAGTGTTTTTCTCCTTTGCAGTCAGTTCTATCACTGTGGTGAGTCCCCTGGAGCTGATCAGAACTAGAATGCAGCATCGCAAGTTGTCCTACAAGCAGCTGTACCTGTGTGTCAGCACTAAAGTGGCTGCAGATGGGTGGTTTTCACTGTGGAAAGGCTGGAGTTCTACTGTTCTGAGAGATATACCTTTCTCAGGTAGGGTTTATTTTCCATGCAGGCTTTTGTTATGTCAGAAGATATGTTTATGCATAACTATTTTAACCTATTTCTGTGCTTTTCTATAATTTTAATGTTTAGCTTTAGGAATGACTGAGATTGATTCATTCTCTTTTGAGTGCTTTTATTTATAAATTTGCTGAGGACATGATTTTTTTCCCCCTATTTTGAACCTGACAAGGTTCATTGTTACATTCCCTTTCTCTATACTTAGCCTGTTACTTCTCGTCTTTAGCTTACACAATGACTGTTTTGAAGTCTTTGAGTAGGAAATTTTCTCTGTGATAGGTATAGTGGCTATTTTCTGATAAATATGCTGTATGTAAGTGTTCTGTTACTTAATTTTGAAAACATGTACAGAGAGTGACAGAGTAATGTCTTCAGGATTTTTTTGAATCAAGATTAATTAGTTTCTATAGCTGCTCCTGAAATCATGAAGATAGAGCACCACTCTAGCAAAGCTCCAGAGCTGAAAGCCTAGAAGAAAAAGAGTCTGATTCAGAGCATAACTAGTCCTGGGGCTCTCCTTGAGACAGAGGGGACAGATGTCACAGGGGAGACTGCTAATGGAGCTGTTAATGCCAGTGGTAAAAGCCCCTGTCTCTTTGAGGCCTGCTTTTCTCAGAGCACTTGTGGATCAGACTTCAGTTGTCTTCAAAGGTGTTTCTGGCATTTGGGTAGTAGCAGGAATAACACCTTTGAACACCGTATGTTGCCCCAGAAAAATTCTTCTAACCTATTCTTGAAGTCAGAGAAGCCTTGAAATATTTGACCAGCTGTCTTTGTTCTCCTACTTCACTCTTAAGATAGTTTGACATTTAATTTCATTTTTGCTTCCAAGCAATCTAGTGGACCAGTTGGTGTGGACTGTTTTGGGACTTGAGCACATTTGGATGTGTACCTGGTGTAAATTTTAAATTGGTTGTAAACCAAATCAAGACATGATAGGTGGGGGCGTTTATAATATCAAGTTAAAAACTGCAGTTGTCAAATTCAGTGAGTAAACTGAATTATTTAAGCTGTATTCTTTTCAAAATGTATAATACTCATGTTTTGTTTCACTTAACTATTGGGAGGTGATTGAAAATCATGGTTGGACTATTTCCTTTTTAAGGATCCAGTTCCTTGATAGGGGTTAATTTAGCCTTCTCTGATAGGGAAGGCTTCTGAACCTACAACAACATAGTGTCGCTAAGGCTAAAGATAACTGTCAGAATTCAGAGAACCTTTTGTCCAAAGTGCTTCCTGTTCAATATTTATTTTTTAATTTACTTATTTTTCTTCTCTGCTAAACTCAACTTTCTCTTAGGCTGTTCAGCTAAGACTTGTGAGGGAACTCTGAAATTCTTCATCTAATCCCTGTTGTTTGACTTCAGGTAGAAACTCTTGTTCTCTTACTGATTTTTGTCTGTAGCAGTGTGGCTGGAGCTTCCTTCCCTCTGCTGCTTTTAACAGAGGGGGAAGATCAGAGCACTGTGAGGGAGTGCACAAGGAAGAGAGCACTAAGGTGATGTGTGTGTTCTTTTCAGGCCTTTTCAGATTCTTGTGTCCATGCCTGCTGTTCCTTCACTGATCCAAAACATGCTCGTTTATTTTAAGTCAGTCTCCACACTGCTCTGGCATTCACTTCGCAGCCAGTGGGCACTTGTCTGTCCCCAGTACTTCACAGGTATCATGGGATGCTGGAAAGGCAGAGGCACAAGTTAACATGCTGCTACTGCCTTATAGCTTGAGAACTATTGTTGAAGAGCCAAAAGTGAGCAGGCAAGTAGATGCATGAGTAAAGGAAAATGTATTTTAAAAAACTTAAATGCAACAAAACTCTGATTATATAAAGGTAGGGGTGTTAATTGCTGCCTAATGTCTCTTTCAAATGTGTTTTCTGATAATTTTTTTTCTTATAAATACTCTTTATCTTTTCTGATGAGTTCCCTTAGTACATTCAATCTTAGCTCTTCAGTTTGAATGATGCCCCAACAGCATCACAGTCTCTGGTATTCTTACAGCACAGTTTACAGCTTTGCTGCAGGCAGCTCAAGTTAGCTATCTCAAGAATTAAAATCAGCGTTACAATTTTTATTGAAAAAGCCACTCCTCTGTGAAAACAGTCAAGCAGTACAGCATGACTTAAGCAGCACAGGGTAATTAGAATCCCACTGTGTTCAAGCCAAAGTGTTGATGATATGCTTCAAGCACATTCCTTGGAATGCCAGCTGGACTGAATAAAACTTGAGCTGTGAATCTTTATAAACACAAGAACTGGGTTAACAATAATACTTGAGTCATTCTTTAAGTAGTGTGGCAGACAATGTAAATATAAAAGGTATTCAGGGAAATGAGTCCTGTAGGCGCTTAAGCAAAGTTTTGGATTTAGTTAATTTATATTAAATTAGAGTTTTGTACATTTCGGGAGTAGATTTTCCTCAAATCCTGAGAATGCCTTCTGAGATACTACCTACTTTTGCTTTTGCAAAATGTTTGAGGCCAGGCACATATTCTGGCAGTCTTCATAGCAAGAAAATACTTAGATATTTTTCTGCTGGCACAGCTTTCAGAAGTCAGTGCTAAACAAGGCACAGTTACCTTTCAGGATGTGCAGCCATTATTTGAAGTATTTACTTGACCAGCTGCCATCAGGATTTACTCTATAATTGAACCTGGTAGCATATAGCTTGGAGTTTTAGTTAGAAGGAAGAAAGAGTGCAGTTTAATTCAGCAGACAGTCACAGAAACAGATGTTGTTCCTAGAAGTTGTTTGCCAAACTTGTCTTTGACAGTCTTCACAAAGGCATTCTACTCTTAGTAATTCCACGGAGAAAAATTGTACTTTTTGGTTCTCTCAGAATTAAATTTTACACTCTGTCCCTCAGAAAAGTGTGAAGCAGTCCTGAGCAACCTTTCATTTTGCATGAAACACATTTTTATAGAATTAGTGAGATTGATGAAACATGTGAAATCTGCCTTAAAACATAGTGAATAATAAGCCTACACTTTAACTTATGTTAAATTGAATGTGATTTTTATAGTGCTTGTCTTAGATTGTATTAAGATAGGAGTTACTTGAGGGAATGACAAAATGATTAGGCTAATTTGTATTATATGAAGAAATTTGGGATATGGAGATAAGGAGAACAGGGCAATCTGTCCATGGGTTAGCACAGAGGACACTTATCATGCTTTCAGCTCTTGTTTCTTTTGCCTTCTGTTGCCACAGTAGAATTCTTACATCTGCACTTGATGAAAGACTTTCTGTATTTGACATAAAAATCTGTTGTAATGCAAGTTTATTTTTTTGTAATCATAGCAATGTACTGGTATAATTATGAACGTTTCAAGAAGATGATGTGCAACAAAGTTGGTGCACATGAACCTACATTTTTTATTGCTTTTGCTTCAGGAGCAGCATCTGGCTCTGTAAGTATATAATTTCATTTCCAGTACTACTCCTTATTATTATCACTAATAAACTATTTAAAAGAGGTATGCTTTTAGGTGATTATTTCAGAAATGTATATTTTGGGGTACATGTACTTTAAACAGTGGCCTGGCATTCAAACTGATTAGATAAATCAATTACAGTGTTCTGACATACAGGACTTAATACTATCATGTCCTTGGAATATGGAATCTAGTTTTCAGTTGTGTGCACTTTAATTTAAAAATTCAATTTAAATTTTGTTTGTGCACTAACATTAAAATTGTTTTCTTTTCCTGATAGATTTCAGCTGTCATAACTCAGCCATTTGATGTAGTGAAAACACATAAGCAGACTGCACTTTGGGAGAGTGAGACCTTAGAAAGTAAGTTGCGGGTAAGAATTAAAAAACCTATAAGGCTTGGGTATATAGACTTTTGGTAGGAACTTTAAGTTTTTGTCTCTTCTCTGAAGTTTATCTAAAAATTCTATCACTCAGGCCTTTTTTCTTCTCCAAATTGTAACATCTTGTGAGATACTTTTTATGTCCTAGGACAATACAATATTTCATTAATGGCACGGAAGAGGGAAGAGGTGTGAGTTCAGTACAATTAGCTTAAAAAGATGGTATAAAGTTGAATCAAATAAATTCAAAACTGTTCCATTTAGGCAGACCGATTGCAAATTTAAGATGTCCCTGCTTTTTGCAGGGAGGTTGGATTGGATGACCTTTAAGGGTCCCGTCCAACCCAATCATATTGTATGACTGAAGTAAGTTATATTTAAATAGGCAAAAATTAACTTCTTATAAAACATTCAGGTGAACAGTGATCTATTGAAAAAGTCTACAATAACGTGATAAAATGTTTGCACATTCACTACCACTTGCTCCTTCATAACAATATTCTTTTGATAAATTTTAGCCTGGAGAAAGAAAGCGCTATGTTCAGGTTGTGTATTTTTTACCTTCTTTTCATATGATTTCAAAAGAATTATTTTTGAGGGCATATTAGTGAATGTCCTAGCATCTTTAAAGGATGAAGGGGGAAGTTTCTGTTTTGTTCTTTCAGTAGAGCGCTGCTGTGCTTTATATGAATTTGAGTTGTATGTAAGAACTTCTTTTTCATTGCTTGAGACCTGCACCAGTGAGGGACTTTCACTAACTTAAACAAATGTTAGATCATGACTTTAAGATTACAGACCATTAAAAAGGTTGAGCACTCGAACAGTTTCTGTTTCGAAACAAAGTGCTCGCTTTTTGGTATGAGGTTTTATTCTCTCAGGTAAATTATTTCTTTCTAGTGTAATTCTTGAAAAAACCACATCAGTGTTTCATTGCAGAACACAAAAATATCAAAAAAGCTTTAATTATAAATATTTATTTTGATTCAGTCTTTTGCTGATGAATGTAAGAATTCATTGCTAACACCACTTTGAAACACGTGTGGTTGCCATATATTTATTAGGTTGCTATAAACCAGATTAATATACATTCAAAATTTCATTATGGTTATCTTCAATTTGTACCAGTTGAATTCTTTCCAAATCCAGGTACTCTTAGAGTTGGGCACTGACTATGCATCTACATATTGTCTCTCTGTGGCTGCAAAAATATTTTGCAGTTTCTAAATGCTGTAGGATGTTCCTGATGAATGTATTCTATGACACTGCTTTAACTTTCATCTAGAAAAAAAAAAATCTCAGCCACTTTCATAGTTCAAATCAAAGAAAACAGTACATGAAATAGCACAGAAAATTTCCTTTGTTTAAAATAATTGCATGTGTCTGCAATGCAGATTGCTTCTGGATGCTGCTGCTGTTAGGTTGCTTGTGGTAAGTGATTTAGCTCTACAAGGGACTTCAATCCACATCTCTTAGAGCTATACTTTCTTAAACATAAATTTAGGGGAGATTTGATTTTTGTAAACTTAGATGTAATGTGTAGTGTCCTAGCTTAACTATTATGTTCAATCTTATGATTCGTTTTTATGATAACAATTCTCAAAACTTACTTTTGGATTCAGTTTAGCAGAAAAGCAAGTTCTTATTTAAAAGTCTGAATTGTGATAATCTTTTAGCTGCACGTGTAAAGTGTCACGGAGAGGGAATGGCTCATTTGGAAGCTAGTTGACTTTTTTCACTGGATTTGTATTCTTGTAAGGAATATTGTATCTGTTCATATATCTTACTGCAGGTATTTCTACAAGCTTTTCCATCTCAAGCTGTTTTAACTTGTGTATTTGCATACTGTATGGATTTAACATACTGTATAAATAAGATGGATAAAACTAACAGAAAAGGAAGTAAACCTAATAATTGCATCTGTGACTCTCTCTGATTTCAAAAAATATTCTTGTGTGGCAGTGTATGGATTCCTTGATTCACTGTTGTCTTGTACTATATTAAGTTCCACAGAGGGAATCTACATCAACCTGGGCAGTTATGAGGAAAATTGTCGCTAGCAATGGGATTACTGGATTATTTGCTGGTAAATCTTTTCATATCTCTAAAAAAAAAAATCGGACTAGAGAGTTTTTTAATCATTACCAAGTGATTACAGATGTTTTAACATGCATAAATTGTATAATATTTCCATCTCCGTGAACACTGTCAGTTATGGAATAGTTTGCATATATAAAGCGACAGAAGTGCATATATCCAGAGAGAATTTTCGTAATCTCTTAACAAGTTACTAAGATATAGCTGTTTGAGATGGATACAATTTATATTAAAAGCAGAGGGGCTGGGCTTGACAAATATGTCTGTATTGGCAATGAAATGTGGTGCTAAAAGATTCAGTTCAGAAAATATTTTTTTTTCAAGTTTAAAGAAATTACTGATTTCTTAAGCTTTTATTGATTTCTTAGGTTTTTTAGAAAGAATTGGTGCAAAGAAAAATTAATGGATTGTAGGTTTGGAACCAACAGGATAGAGGTTTTTCTAGGCTGAGAAAGTTTCTTACATGCAGTTTTTAGTCCAGTGCTAAAAATCTCAAAGCAGACATTACTGTTGCAGCATCTGGATTTAGGAATAGGCATCCTAACTTTTGTTCTTCATCCCACAGTAGTTTCTGTACTCAACTTTTTTGTCTCTTTTTGTCTCAGAAACAGAGTTTAGGCTTCATGGGTATTTTTTTGTCTCCCTTCTTCGTCTTTGAAGAAGATGCATTATTGGGAACCCAAACAGTCTGAAAATGGAATAGGTATTTTGAAGAATTTACAGAATAAAATACTGTTATTGGCTTGTGGAATACTAGGCTCAGGATAGATTCCATCTATCCTAAATGATTCTTTGATACTGTCCTATGATGCATTCAGTTGAAGTCCAACTTCAACACAGTTTTTTACAGAGAACTGGAAGATTTGACAATTATATTAGTATTTGTTTGTTTGCTAGATGGGAGTAATTATGTTAAATATTGTATAATATTTAGGACATTCAAGGTCATGCAACAACCATTCCCCATGAATTTTTTTCCTCTAAATTTTCTGGCAAACTAGAAGCTTTATTTAAGATATTTGTTAAATTTTTATGTTTAAACAGAGGGAGAAATGCAATCTTGAGGATATACTGAGTTGATGATAAGTAAATAACTAATGAGTTAATAGTTTTAAATTTTCCTTGTATTTTCTCTCATCACTACTCCTCTGAGTGCACCCATCTTACATGACTTTCTTACCCTCACTGATCCTGTCAAGGTTCACTTTGTAGCTGGTACTGTTTTAGTTCCTCTGAGCCCTTCAGTAAGATGTGATCAGGTCACTGTGAACACCCCATTTAGCTGTGCAATTCCTTGATGTATTTTATTTTTCTTCTTGCAGGGACTGTCTTAAAGACTGTCTTTTAGTAGTTTTGATAGGTGTGGCAAAGATAATTTTTTACCACTGGAATATGGGCTGATCAGCATAGATGTATCCCTGACCATCCTAAGATATCTTTGCCATTTAAACACTGCATATTTAAAGAACAGAAAATAATGGCCAGTCTTCGCGAGCGAAGATCTGGGGAAGGTCTTTACACCTTCCAGCCTGCGCATTGGATTTTTTAGGTGAGACACAGTGTGCGCGGAACTGAGCCCACCCTTTAATCCTAAGGTTCATCTGCCGGGGCCAAGCGAGCTTGGACGGTGGCAGCGAGATGGGTTGCCTTTAAGGGCTAACGAGCTCCACCTGCCCGGGAGTGGCCCTGACCGGGAATTGAACCCGGGTCTCAGCGGTGACAGCGCCGCGCCTTTACCACTAGACCACCAGGGGGTAAAGAACAGAAAATAAACTCTCAGGAATACTTTTCGATGTCTTTTTCAAATCCTGGCAACTGTGAGAACTGCCTAATGACCTAATTCTTGGTACTAACTCAAAACCCCTAGCAACAAAGATTGTTGTCCTGAGAGGTCCAGCATGAAATGTTATTCCTCCTTATTTTCATAATTATGGCTCAATTGTGTCAGGACTTCCTGTCACCAAGGAGTGATCATGGAGACTCCTGAGACCTCACGAGGCTTAAGAGTCTTTTCCATTGAATAACCAAGTTGCCCTGGCCAGAACAGAGGCTCTTTGTGAGCTGACAAGCATGAAAGACGAAAAAAGTGACATTTAGCATTCAAACAGAAATCCCTCACTATTACCTCATCCTGAAAATGAGGATTTCTTTTACTTCTTAAGATCTTTCAGGGAATGTTGCACTTCTGTAATGACCAGAAAGGTCTGACTCCTCTCTGAGGTAGTTGCCAGTCATTTTGGTAATTCACAATGGATTTAGCCAGATGACTGAATGTTCTCTTGGAGAAGGTAGTGGAATTTTTTTTTCACGGATGTGTATATATTTGGCAGCAGCTATCAGGGATCCTGCTAGATTTCTGCCAGGAGGTTTCTACTTGGCATGCTCTGTCAGGAAGAAAAAATTTGGTTTCCCAGTAACTGGAGTTCTTACATTCTCATCCATTGTGTCCTAAGTAGCCATAGAAGGCAACTTGTGTTTCTAGTTGCCAATCTGGTGATTAAAACAGAAGATACTGTGATAGTTTAACTATACACTATTCTCTCCACCCTAAGTTCCTCTCTGCAGCTACCAGATACTTTTTGTGGCATATGCACAGAAATTTCTCCAAAACTAAACTGAATCTCTCTGTTCCCTGGGAGACCTTTGGGTACAAATGCTGCAGGACTGATGCCACAGCCCAGGGGCTCAGCGACTTCAGACCGTGGGACTTGCACTGAGAAACCCACTGTCCTGGGGGCTGGGGGTCCATCTGTCAGAGAAGGGGAAGAGCATCTTTGGCCATAGGCTTGTCCAGCTTGTGAGGAGGGCTTTAAACTAAAGTTGCCAGGGGAGGGGAACCTCAGTCCATCTCACTCTCACCAATGTGATGCCAGCACCCGCAAGAGACACCCAGAGCCAGGAGAGGGATCACAGGTCAGCAGGTGAGCACGTGGTGACTGGAGTGTTGAAATGGAAGGATATAGAGCCTTTAGGAAGAACAGGCAGGGGAGATGAGGAGGGATGTCACTCCCTATATCAATGACCAGCTGAAGTGTATGGAGCTCTGCTTGAGGATGGACCAAGAGCTGAGCAAGAGCTTGTGGGTCAGGATTAAAGGGAGAGCAGAGACAGGTGACATTATAATGGGGGTCTGCTACAGACTGCCCAGCCAGGAAGAATGAGCAGTCTTGCATTCACAAACTCTGGTCCACCTATACCAGAGGGTACTGCCCAGCATGGTACTTGAGCCCTTTCCTCCCTGACTTTATCCATTTCAGGATTCAGAGCTTGATGAACCTCTTTTTTCACACCTGAGAGGTCATAAGCCTCTGCCTGTCCCACATGAGCAGCAAGTTTGCACTGGCTTTTAGGGGTGGGCACAGAACCTGCCCTTGGACCACCTCTTCTGTGCTGGAGCACAGGAGCCCTGCAGGTCCAGGTGTTCCACCTCCAGGGAGAGTCAGAAGGGGCAGAGACAGGGCAGACTCGAGGCAGAATGGCATAAGGTTGTTACTCTGGCAATACCTACAGCCAGTGCATTTAGTGTTTTGAGGAACACAGACACATACAATCCTAGTTCTACACTGATATATTATGGTATTGGTATATTGTGACCAATAAATTGTACTGCAGTACTTGGTCTGAAAATAAATGATAGTGAATACCTTCTTTTCTCTTCTGTGCAGGTATTATTCCACGGCTATGTAAAGTTGCTCCTGCTTGTGCCATAATGATCAGCACATACGAATATGGAAAATCTTTCTTTTCTCATTTAAATGAAAAAATGAATCAACGTCCTTAATTCTCCTTCATCCAACTGTATGAAGTCAAAGCATATGGTGAAACTTGTGCCAAATTATTATCTGTGAAGATGTTTTCTAGAATTCCCAGTGAATTTCTACCATTACATTTGGTAACTAAATACAACTTCATTATTAACTGTTTCATGAAGGATAAATTAACTTTTTTTAATTAAGAAAATACACATCACCCTTAAACTACCATTGAAGATTTTGTGCCTTCTCTTGCAGCTAAAGAGGAAAAAGAAAGGAAAGAGGAGAAAAAAATATAATCGAGCCTGGACAGAGCAATGAAGAATAACGACTGCCACTGTATTAAATTTTTAGTCTGATGAAACATTTTTGTTGGATATTTAAAATTATTGTTTTAAAACGTTTTGGGCTTCCAGTTGTATGATATATTTATTTCTCAATGAGGAGGTTGATACAGAATGAATTCAATAAATGCTTATTTATTCTTGCTGTTTGATACATGTTTTGTTCTGGGCATGTTTGTTATTTGATTTTGTGTAAGCGCACATTATAAAACAGCTTCTTTCTGTGTTTATTTTAAATGAAAAATTCCCTGTGTCAAAGTGGAAAAAACACTCATGCTCATTAGTAACCAAGAGAGCACGGTGAATACAGTGATAGGGACTGCAGTGGCTTTTGTTTAAGGTAGTACTCTTAAAAAATTAAAGCACATCCAGGCATTGAAGACAACGGCCTGTACAGGTGCTCTGGAGGAACACTCCCTCGCCTGTTTTTGGGAGGTGCAAGTTGTCACTGCCACAACACTCCTGGGCAGGGCCAAGCCACACACAGTTTGTATGGGATGACCTGTCTTGGAAGGGCGGGTGTGCTGGCACAGACAGGTGGTTCCACGCCTGTTTGATTCAGCTGTGGGTCTCTCTGAAGGGAGGAGCATATTTAGTTTGCTGCTGTCGATGCAGCCCCTGTCTGCCACAGTTGTGCTGCACACTCGTGGTATGAGCAGCTGCAGCTCACTTGCCCGTAGGCGCTTCAGTTACTGAATCAGAGCTTCCTCTGTATGACTTTTTTTAAAATAATTTTTAACTACCTTCACACTACCTCCCTTTTTTCATGCATTTTCAATGAAGGGGTTGGATTTTACTTTTTTGTGTATTTTAACAAAAAATTGTGTTGATGCAAAAGCAACTCAGTATTCAGGCCATTAAGACACTGAGATTCGGGTGTGCTTTACCCAAGAAATGAACTTGAGTCCTATCCTACTATGAAGAAGATATCCCAGCATGTGTTTGGTCTTGGTGAAAATTCATTACATGTTGAAAAATGCTGCAGTTGTAAAGACATTAGGTACCATGTTACAGCATATGGTGCAGGCAAGAGGTGCTGCCAGAGGAAATACTTAACACTCTTCTCCCACTGTGACTTTTGAACATAAATTGACAAACTAAGGCCTAAGAGAAAATAATAACAACAGATTTTGGATGACACTGAATGACTTCCAGCAACAAAACCAGACTCTCCCCATTTTGCAAGAAAAGAATTTGCTATAAGCTCAGTAATACTGTAATTTACTGAATGGTCTTATTTTATCCTGAGTGATTAAAACAAAGACAAAACCTTGTAACTTGTGATGATACAAAATGTTTAATTTACATGCAACATTTATGGAACGTCAAGGCAACAAAACATACAGTTTTGGCATTTTAATTTTTTTTTTAAATGATTAATGTTTAGAACTGAGAAAGACGCACATAACTGATTTCCCATGCACAAACCCCAGAAATTCAGTGGTGTCTGACCACATAAAAGACTTCAGTTGAATGACACATGAATTTCACATTAGTAGCTCCAAGAAAAGAGCCATCAATGAACATGACTGAAGATCATGATTATAGCCCACTCCAACGTACTGATGTAGTGTGAGAAGTGTTTAACAGCAAACAAGACCCATTAAATCACTGTACCTTGATGTAGAATGTTAACTAGTGGAATCCAGATTCCCTCATTTTATTTGTAGTAAAAATGCATTTCTGGTTCACAAATTCATGTTTAATAATGTTACTCAACTGTCATGAAAGAACAGGTGGTTAATGTGATAGCAAAAAAAGGTTAGATGAAGTAATGGGCATTCTGACAATGTATGAAAGGATTTAACGGTCAGTTTATTACTGAGAAATTAACTGGGTGGGCACACGAGGGCTTGAAAGACAAGATCTGGTGGATTTTACTAAAATGCTTTAAAATTCTGCATTAAAACAGCATCAGTAGTTGTGTACCCTGCCCTGGATGCAGTGACCTCTAGCAGCATGGACTAGAGAGTTGAGGATATGTATTTTGAACCTCCTCCAGCTAAATCCAACAGTGCCATGAGTTCCAGAGGTGCAGAGCCTCATATTTACAAAGGCTACATTCCCTGTAGTTTCAGTAAAGGTAAGAATGAATCCTGTTTCTTTCAAGCCCATCCTATGATAACCAGTTTTTAGTAGCAGTGCCAAGGTCCCATCACAAGAGGCAAATCAACTAAACTGTACAGAATGTAGTGACATACTGTAAACACCTAAGAGTAAGCAATAATTAATTAAAAATCTGTCCTGTATTGCAGCTACTCATGTAAACAATTTATGAAACTTCTTTGGCACAAAAAAGCATTTTCCCTAGCACTTATAAATACAACATACTTACATGCATTTCACTTTTGTTTAAAAAGTTACTAATCATAGTGATAAGCATTACCTTGATTAGCAAAATTCATAGATAAGATCATATCTTACAAAGAATTAGGAATATAGTTTGCAATTCAAAAATTAGGTTGCAAACTTTGAAACTGTAGGGTGATGTGGAAAGTTAGTTACATTTAAAAAATGTCTCCTTTTCTTTTTTCCTATCAGTAATTTAAATCAATGGCAAGTAATTTCAGAAAACTAACTTGAGAAGTTCTACTGTATTATCTTACCAAGAAAAATACCTATAGTACTACTACAGGGTTGAGAAAAGTCTTTAACATGGAAATACAGTCATTACCTTGTCTTTGTTTCCTCTTTTTCACTCTCCTTGGGATCTTGCCAATAAACACAGAATCCAAACTTCCCAAGGTGCTAAACCCACCATCCTTGGTCTCCATCTTTCCAGCAAGACATTTCTTATATAATGTTAGATTATCTGTAACTCAGGTCACTCAAAAGCATTTAGTGAGTTTCCTCACCATTTGTAAATTGTAAGTATGCTTGATTTATATGATCAAGTTACATTTGTTATTCACATGCAACTTCGAGAGTTTTTTCAAGAGTGTTTCAGTGTGATTCTTCAGTGAGATTTGGACATCTAAGTGCCATGATACTAACAGGAATGCAAAACCTAACACTGAGTCAATTTGAGAAAAGCTGTTGATAGGTTAAATACGCTATTTGAGGTCCTACACAACATACACAGATGAAAAAGCTGGAATTTTAGGTAAAGTATTTATTTGCCTATAAAGACTGGCATTAAGGATTCCCTGTCTATTCTGCAAGAGTTGATACATATTTAAAGCACTGCAGAAAAGTACAGTGGCTAGAGCAGGGCCAGGCCAGTGCAAGGAGAAACAAAGCTGATGGCAATTTAGTAGGGGACTGATTTCCAACTTTCATTTTAAAAATCATTCATAAGCATCGGATTATACATTCTGTACCTGACCAAGAGCTTTAAATAAATCCAGATTAAAATAGAAAATCTGAAAAGTCCTCTGGGAGAAAAAAAAGGTGAATCAAAATGGACAAAGTTTGTAAATTACACAGGTAAACCAGGAAAAGAAAAAATAAAGCAGCTTATTTTTTAACTCAGAACTAGCAGTCTTCATTGCAAGTCATTTTATGGAACATAAACCAAATGCGTACAGCACAAAGCTCTTCCTTCTTGTGTGTATCTCAAGATGGTGTTAAGCCTGGACTTGTCATCTCTGTTGTGGGACTTGCAAGGTATTCACTTGATTTCAGACTTGTGAGAGACTTGTAGCTTGCTACTGATGTAAGGGAACCACAAAGACCAAGCAAAGATGGAGTGTCTTCCTTCCCTGTTAAGAAAAACAAGAACTAAGCTAATAATTTTTACAGTACAAGATAACAGAAAATCAAGAGATAACAGAAAAGGCAGTGTCATCTACACTATTATGAGTTACATAGTCCTGCTTCAGCACAGGCATGCTTCATAAGTGCCATTGGGAAGACACATAATTTATACCACACCTTCCGTGTCCCTGTGGTACAGGGATCCATCCCTACCTTGCTCTACAGGCTGGGCTGTAGTCAGTCTCCTGCAGAGGCAGATCCAGAGGCTCCACTGACTACACAGTGAACTGCAGTTACTCATTCCAGCACCAGTTCATCGTATATAAATTGTCCACTGTATATAAATGGAAGGCCATTGTATATAAAGCCCGTTGTGTATAAATGGAAGTGACATTACCAATACAATGTCAGTACCAAAGATCTAATTTTAAATCCCACAGAAAGGAGCAGAATTAACTGGAATCGGGATCCATTTCTATCAAAATAAGCCCGTTTTGTTTTTTAAACCTTGGTAATTTGAAATGCATTAGGTTCCAACCACTGGAAAAAGCCACACAGTGCAGGAGTAGGAGTGCAAACATCTGCCCTGTCATCCAAATACAGCTGACAGCTAACATGAAACATACCCATATGAAACTGCACTGGACAATTTCTCTGTTTATTTCATGTCTTGCCTTCTCAGAATACCTGTTCGATTTATTTTGTGCCAACTCTGCTAATAAATTACAGTACAAAGAATTTGATCTAAGTATTTCATCCTACTAGCTCACCTAGAGAATAGGAAAATCACCCTAAACTAGAAATTAAAATGACCTCAAAAAGGTCACAGGCACAAGATTTTATTGATAGGCCAGTCTACCCAAATTTCTTCAAATCCCACCTATAAAGTAGCATTTCTTAAAATGGCATCACATGTTCATGACAGAAAAGGTTTGTTCTCATGAGAAGGATAAGAAGTAAGAAAAAACCCCAAACAACCCAAATCATGCCCTGCACAATAATTCATTATGAAAAAAAAATAAAGTGACATGTAGTTCTCTTTCATCACTGTGGTTCTTATCAGCAGTTTACAGTAGATTGTAGGTCTCACCTCCACTGAGCTTTTTTCAAGTGACTTTCCCTAAAGAATGAACTAGATTAGCTCTTTTCAAAGGTGTTCACTTTTAGAAAAATCTTTATTACCATAAAAACTACCTTATAAAGACTACATTCAGAACGAGGACATAAAATACACAGAGCAGTATAACATTGTTTGGGCACAGCCCTCCATTTCAACTACTGTGAAGAGAAAAATCTGACTAGTTGAGTGGGCTTAAGAGTAGTGTGAAAATTTAGTACTTCTAATCATTTAGTTAAAACTGCAACATCGAGAGTTGGACCAAAGATACCTCAGCAGGATCACTGTGCCTTACAAAACTACATTAAAACTTAAGTGCTAATGAACGTCACTGATTTA